CCGAGTTCAAATCCCAGCACCCACATGGCAGCTAACAACTGTCCATATCTCCAGTTCCAGGGGAAATGACAACCTGTTCTGTCTTCCGAGGGCATTGCACGACACAGATGCACCTATCTACATGCAGGCAATACACGCATACACATAAAATAAAAATAAAAAAAATTTAAAAAGATCTATAAATGTAAAATCAAAAGCAATTGTAAAGAAGTTGTACAAATACCAGACTCCCAGCTATTTATCCAGGTCCACCAGTCCTGCTGGCAGGCAAGCACCCTGAGAAGGGAAGGCAGGTGGTAGGGAACAGGAATGGAACTCAGCTAACTGCCTGGGGCTGGAGACCTCGAAGGGCAGTTCTGAAGAACTGAAGTCTGCTTGTATGTTGGGGAGGCAGGCAGCAGTAGGAGCGCGCTGGGCAGGAGCAGCGCTGGATAAGGGCTGACTCTGAAGAGGCACAGGGAAGGGAAGGTTGGACAGAATTTATCAGAAGAAGGTTCCAAAGGCGTATGAATCCCAGAAGAAAACTATGATGAAAACTGACTTTTATTAGTGTTGATTTGGCTTGCCTTATAATAAAGAGCCTCATTTAATTTAAATACTTCAATTTAATTTTACATGCTATTTAGCGTGGGGGTGGGGGTGTAAAGGTGGGCACATATGTGCCATGGCATGTGTGTGGAGGTCAGAGGACAACTTTTGGGAGCCATTTCTTTCCTTCCACCATGTGAAAGGGATTGAACTCAGGTCACCGGGCTTGGCAGCAAGCATCTTTACCTGCTGAGCCCCTCTAAGACCCTCAATTTAATTTTAAACACATGAGAACAGCACACCTTGGCATTCTAAGTAACCATTATAGACTAAAACCTATTTTTTCTTTTTTAAAGAAGTTTTTATGAGCTGGGCATGGTGGTACACACCTTTAGTCCCAGCACTTGGGGGGCAAAAGCCTGCAGATCTCTGTGAGATCAAGGCCAGCCTGGTCTCCATAGTGAGTTCCAGGTCAGCTGTAACTACAAGAAGACCCTGTCTCAAAAAGACCAAAAAGGAAAAAAAAATTTTATTAGCATATGTTAATATACGCAATAATGGGTTTCATTATGGCGTTTTCAGACATGTACATACTGTATTTTCATCATATTCACCTCCAGAGCACGCTCTTGTCCCCCTTCTACTCCCACTGATCCCCTTCCTCTTCCCAATTAGTCTGCCTTGTAATTTCACATCGTGTGCATCTGTGTGTGTGTGTGTGTGTGTGTGTGTGTGTGTGTGTGTGTTGGCCCAATGAGTTTAACTAGGGTTACTTACAGCATGGGTAATTTGCCACTGGCTACATCACTACATCCTCTTCAACCATTAACCTGAAGATAAAGATCTTTGGGGTGGGATAGGGTCTTGTGAGTCCCTATAAAAATCAACTTTTGAGGAACATTTTAAAATGGAGTTGGGGAACTTTAGGGAACTAGGAGTCTATGCATGTGTTAGACAGCCGTATAGGGAATTTTTTTTTTTTTTTTTGAGACTGAGTTTCACATAGTGCAGTCAACTCTCTGTGGAGTTGAGGATGACCTTGAACTCCTCCCTTCCCCTCCCGAATTCTGGGCTTAAAGGCATGCAGCCACCTGGCTAGGGAAAGGGAATTCTTAAACTAAGAATGAAAATGACACCAGAATAAGAAACTTTGAGCTGGGCCAAGGCCTGGGAAGCTATTAACGTCTTTTATTGGATATAGTAGCTACAAAGTCTTACAAATGACAAATGAACTTTACACCCAGAGACAGCCCAACCAATCGTGCACACCCAGAGACACGCAGCCTGGAATTAAATGGAGTCTCCATGCCAGCCGCCCTTTCTTCCATGTTGCTTGTGGGGCTTCCTCTGTCCCTGCTTTCTCCTTTCCTTTAAGTCCTATACAATGAGTCTCTTTGGAGCTCAGGGCTATCTGATCTGCATTTTCTTCACTTGTGATTTGCAGACCTCAAGGAAAGTTCTCTAGTTTTTATAGCTTCTAAATTCTTCAAAACAAAGTAGACAGTTTGTGAAGCTGAAAAACAGAGGAATAAAGGAGAGAGGATGAGAAAGATGAGTATCCCCACACTCACCTAGACCCAGTCCCCTAGCACCTTCCACACAGTCTTCCCAGGGAGAAGCCCTTTTGCAGAGCTCACCACATGGCTGCCCTGGTCTCCTCGCCTGCTTGTCTCTACCTGAGGCCTCATATAGCACAGCATCTAACACGCTTAACTGTAAAGAGGCTAAGTACTGATTCAAAGGGGAGTCTTACCTCATTCTTGTTTACTTTTTCTTTTATTACTATTTTACTATAGTACAACAATACAATAAAATACCTACACCTTACATATGCAGCCTAGCAAACTTTTACGGATATTTCTGAGTAACACAGTTAGCAAACTAAGTGGTAATACAAAGACAAAAGAAATGTCCCTCTGTCCACTGAAAGTTGCTAGAATAAAACAAATATTTAATAATATAAAAGGTGTAAAAATTAAGTCAGGTGTGGTGGCACATGCCCTTAGTCCCAGCACTCAGGAGGGAGAGACAGGTGGATCTCTGTGAGTTCAAGGCCAACCTGGTCTACATAGTGAGTTCCAGGCCAGCTGGGGCTACTGGAAGACCCTGTCTCAAAAAGACAAAAAAAAAAAAAAGAAAGTGTAAAAATTCAAATACATTAATGTGCAAACAGGGAAACTACAGAATGGGGAATATCACTGAGATATGATAACCCATCCAACCAATGCTAGTTTGGAACTTACATGTCCATTTTTCTAAAGTGGAAGGGGGAATGGAAATGTTTAGATAATTTTTTAAAAATTTATTTATTTTTATTTTATGTGTATGAGTGTATTGCCTGCATGTGAGTGCAATGTTTAGACAATTTTAAGAGTTTGTAAATGATGATCAAGGGAGTGAATGGTCCCAGAGACAATCTCTTGGGGTCTGAATGAACCAAGGACAGACGTTACCTTGCACAGGACATCCAGGTGTGTGCTGTTCCTCAGTCTTCTTTTTTGAGGTAAATGAAGGAATTTCGTTGTGAGGATAGAAAATTGTTGGGCTTTCTTTGCAGTCTGGCCTTAATGCTGATAAGGGAATTCCATAGGCCCCTCTCCCCATGTTAGAGGAGAGGAGCAAGAAAGGGTTCGGGGAAGGCTGGGGTTCAGCTCAGTGACAGCATGCATGCAGCTTGGTTGATGTCCTGAATTTGGTCCTCAGCACCAAAAAGGGGGAAAAATGGAAAGAGGGAAAGAAGAGAAGGAAAGGAAAAGGATGGAAAGGGAAGAGAAAGCACAGGCCACAAGTCTTGATTCTAAACATTTCTAAACATTTTAGTTTTCTTTAGCTCAAATTATTCAGCATGCCAAAAATGCAGTATGTCAGGGTTCTCCAAGAGTCAACAGTAATGTCTATCCAGATCAAGTTCTAAAATATTTCTATCATCCCAGACTTTGGGCTGCCTCATTTTTACCAGGGTCATTCCCTATGTGGCAAAGGAGCCAGTCAGCAGGGCAATGTAGCAAGGTAATCCAGCTGGATACACCATCTCAACTCGTGAGGGCGTGCCAGGGCCTCTGGCTGAAGAAGCTAAATCTCAGGGTTAAGATCATGTGCTTTGTAAAAGACTAATGGGGCAGGAAGTTCATTCTGTGTGGGGTTTGGGGGAACAGTTACAGGGAGGAGCATTTCTTTTCAGTGGAAGACCCATCCTACCAAGAGCTGACTTACTATGGAAGCAACCCTCTAGAAAAGGACAAGCAAGGTCCCTATCAGTGGAAGTATCAGTTAAGAACAGAGCAATCAAGCCATTTCTCCTGGGTAACAGGAAGGAAACAGGAGTCTCAGCTGAAGGTTATTCTTCCCAACTCCAGCTCCTACTATTCTACAATTTTATAACACGGCAGCGAGGATGCAAAAGTTAGTGATTCTGATTTGGGTTTCTCTTCAGAGGATAACTTTGTACTTTATTACAAGTACTGTCAGGCCTACTCTTATCACCATTCAATAAATCACCCAGAGAGACTGAGCAAAGGGATACTGGAGACTGCATTTGATGCACAGTCTAGGGCAGGATGGAGCAGGTGCTGAGATAGCACTGTGAGGTGGTAGAGCCTACAAGAGAAGCTTGCTGCCCCCACTTACTGCCGAGTTGTCTTGGGGACACCCACCCAAATGCTTCCTAGGAACTTTCAGTCCTGGTACTCATGGGTACAAGTGGGGACAATGTCACAACTCTCATAACTGTTAGAACATTTGGACAAAGGAGGCACTAAAGGGCCTGACTGCCCTATTAGAAGGGTCTAGTGCAGGCACCAAATCTGAGCTACCTCTGGAGCAGAACCATGCAGAACTCTCCATGGCCACTGGGGATTATGCCAACCTGGGCCAGCAGCAGAGTCCTGAAGTGTAGACAACCCTCTCCACTCTCTCCCTAGAGGATTGCTTCAGCATTCCTCTGGGTTACTGCCCTCCCTCCCCACTCTTATCCCACACTGGAAAGGAGAGATGAAGTCCAGACAGAACTGGGTCCTTCTGCATCCCATACCTTTGATGGGACAGGTAAGGGTGATGCTCCCTCTCACTAGGAAGTATAGAGTGTATCCGACCCAAGTTTTTAGTATTGGAGATACTCGCCTACCATGCTGTAGGTCTTGGGTTCAATTCCCAGAACCGAAAAACAACAAAACAAAGTCCCAAGTTTCTGGGGGCTTGCTTCCAAAGGACAGTATGGGAACCCCTTGAGGTTCCAAACACAAGTCACCAGCTGCAGATGAGACTACTCTTCCTTTGAGGAGGGCAAGAGGGCGGCGCTGGCAGACCCTCCACATCCACCTGCTGCACCTCCGGGACCAAGGGGTGAGGGCCAGCATGGCCAAGCCGAGAGGCGCGGGGCGTTCAGGGCTCTCCAGCTTCGGCGCGGGCGGGCGTCCTGCTCTCTCCAGTGGGTATCCTGCGTGGGGGCCGCGAGGCCAGGCGAGGCGGCGACTCCCGGCGGCAGGCACGTGCGTCCGCGGCGCCCCCGTCCTCCACACTGCGCGCTGGCCGAGGGCGGGGCCGGCGCTCCCTCCTCTCCTCCCCCGGCTCGGCCGGCCTCCCGCGGGCGGCGGCATTCGGCACCCGGCTAGCTGCGAGCACCCGGCGGAGCCATGGACTGCGACGGCCGCGTGTCAGGGCTGCTGCGCCGCAACCTACAGCCCACGCTCACCTACTGGAGCGTCTTCTTCAGCTTCGGCCTGTGCATCGCCTTCCTGGGGCCCACGCTGCTGGACCTGCGCTGCCAGACGCACAGCTCGCTGCCCCAGATCTCCTGGGTCTTCTTCTCACAGCAGCTCTGCCTCCTGCTGGGCAGCGCCCTCGGGGGCGTCTTCAAGAGGACGTGAGTGTCGCACCCGGGCGTCCCTACCTGCAGCTGGGTCCCCCGACCCGCCGTCCCTCCTCATCCCCGCCGCAGCGACTACCTGCCCACCTTAGCCCGCTGCATCCGGGCCTAGCCCCGGGGGCTGCCTCCCTCCTCCACCCCAGCTTCTTTGGAAAACTCTCCCGAGACTGAAGGTGACTTCTGGGCTGTGTATTTACCTTCGCTCACCCGGGTGAGAGGGTAGAATCGTTCCCTCCCTCGCCCCACCCCCAGTCCACCAACTGAGGAATGATGGAGTGGGCAGAGGTGGGTAGGACCTTGCACCTCTCTTCTGAGATTTTGTAGTCCCGGCTGCCAGGGGTGGAACTGACATGAGGTGGGAAGACAGTTGGAAGCGCCAGCTCAGGGGCAGTACGTGATGCCAGGACTGGTCTGCGGTTTGGTGGCCCCACTTAGCTTCACATCAATTCATGCAAGTTGTCCCTCTGCCGTGGTGGTAGTGGTGGGGCTGGTGGGGGGTCTTTGCAGTTCTGCTCCTGAAGGAGCCAGGACACTTCAGCATCGGCCTGTAGAGGCTAGGGCGCTTGGGACTCACATAGCTAGGGCCAGGTAGAGCTGTGCAGAGCCTCTCATTCATCCTCTATCTCTGGTGCCAGTGTCCCTCTGCACCGCACCCCTCCACTTTATTACTGCTACCTGGCTTCTGCCAGAGCAGAGCACCAGGCTAAGTGATAGGACACACAGGATGATGTCCCTTTGGATGCCACAAAAGCGTTATTCTCCTGCCTGTTCTAGAAAGGCAGCAGGCTTCTCTCTCGGTACAGCCAGGATTAGAGACCCAGGGCTGAGGAACAGAGGACTTGCACACCAAAGGCTGCTGTGTGAATACCCTCATTCCATCTCCTTGGAGGAGCAGTTCCCTGGACTGCAGGGATCCAAGCAGCAGCTGGCTTGGAAACAAAACCACAGTTGGGTAGTATATTGCAGGAAAATCTGTGGAGGGGTCATTCTGAGCCAAAGGGCTCTTGGGCTCCTTCCTGCAGGTCTGTGGCTAATGGGGGCCTGCAGTGCAGCTATCAGTACAAAGAACCCCAGTTTAAGCCGCCCAGAGCCTGCCAATCCTCAGCAATTAGAGGATGATTGTTTCCATTTCCCCAAAATCTTCTTGTAAAATGGAAGAAATCTCAGAAGCAAGTCTCCTTGTGCACACCAGTGTTTTTGTAGGTTTGTGATACAATTGGATGTATAGGAATTCAGAAAAGCTATTCTGCCTAGAAATGTAGTCAAAAGGAAGAGAGAGTGCCTCTGAATATCAGAGGTGGGTTTTGTTGTTTGGTGCTGGGGAATCCAGGGCTTCGTCCATGCCAGGTAAGCCTCTCCTACTAAGCCATACTCCCAGCCCTCACAGATGTTTTGTTGCGTTGCATTTCCGTATTTTGACTTAGAGAAGCTTTCTTACCTGGAACTTTTTAGAAACGTGTAAACAGGAAGGAGAATAAGGATAGTTCTAGTGACAGGCTGGTAGGCTTCCTTTTCTGAAATGGGCAGAGATACGCACCCAACTGGGCCATCTCTTCCTGGCTTTGTGCCTCCTTCTAGGCTCCTAGACAGCAGAGCCCTGCCGCAGGAAACCCCGGATCAGCAGTGGCAACAATAACTAACCATTGTGCAAGTGGTCTGTGCCAGGGCTATTCTTAGTACCTTATTTATATCAACCCATCTAATTTTCACCACAACCCTGCAAATACTATCACCCCCAGTTTATGCATAATGAATCCGAGACATAGAGGGGTTAAGAAATTTAGCTGGGTATGGTAATTCCAGTGCTCTAGAAGCTGTTAGGAGAATCTTGAATTGGACTTTAGCCTGGGCTACATAGCAAGACCCTGCCTCAAAACGCTGAAAGGAAAAAAAGGGAGGGAGGGAAGGAGGGAGAAAGGGAGAAAGAGAGAGAGAAAGGAGAAAAGGACTTGTCCCATATCACATGGTCCCAGGGTTTGAACTCGGGCATTTGTCTGCAGTCCCAGCTGCCTTGGCAGTGACTCCTGCCTTCTGAGTAGTCAGCATCAACTCTGTAGTTGAGGCCTATGGAAGAGATAAGGGTTCTGTGAGTCTTCACCTGCTGAGCATCCTTGAGCTCTAACAATGCTTTGGAAGGCAATGTAAGCCCCTGGGGTTTCCTGCTGGGATCTTCCAGAGTGGCTAGGACATCTTAGTGGTTCAAGTTTAAATTCTGAGCTTCAGTCCTCCTACCCCCAAGATAAAATGTCTCCAAGAACAAACAAAGCAGGGTTCCAGTGGGAAGGGGGCTGGGGGTGATCAGGGGTGACCCTGAGTGTCAGTAATACTGTATCACCACCTAGCTAACTCTGGGCAGCACTGAATGCTCTCTCCTCACTCCCACCTCCCAAGTGAACAGAAGCTTTGCCAGCCCTGACATGGTCTGTAAAGCTTGCTACACAGCCTCGCCTATCTCTGTTGAAATGCTAATGTCTCTGCAAGGAAATGCTTTTCAGCTTAAATGATTAGCAGCCAGTGTGCCAGGCTGGCACTGAAAATGGGGGATTAACAAAGCTTCCAAGGTCACCTGTTGAGAGGGCGTGGAGGAAAGTGGTTGAATGACACATCAGAGTACCTGCTTAGGTTCTACCTACTGCTTAGCTTAATTTGAAGGCTTCTAGACACCTCTATGGGGCAGGCATTGGAGCAGGTGCTGGGGAAACACCAGCCTTCATTCCCTATCTTTAGCATAAACTTTACACTGTAGCAGAGACCTTGAACGTTAAAGGAGGCCATCTGCAGGCACAGCAGAGGGAAGAGAGGTACAGTTGCAGTCACAAGAACCTGAGCTAGACCCTCCCTAGGAAAATCTTGTTTAGCACAAAGAGGAAATCTTCCAGAGAAGAGACACAGAAAGCCACCAGGTCAGCAGAATGACTAGGTATGTGATTTGACAGAATGGTGATGGGGTATTTAGACAAAAGGTTAGGTTTTCTTTTTCTGGGTTTGTGGGACCTGTCTAACCACCCTGGGCAGTTGGGAGACCCCCTTATCTCAGGACATCAGCAGATAGATGACTTGAGAGCTCCCCAGCCTCCCTAGCCTCTCCCAGCCTCTCTGTGACTTCTCCCCTCCACTAATTGGTTGTGAGCTTGTTGAAGTCATTTGCTGATTGACACTCTGCTTACGGCTTGCCTGTCTTTTTAAATCTAATTCCTTCCTGTCTTCAAGTCCCCTACTCAACTAAGAACCCCTCCTGTATCTTGCAGCAAACTAAGTCTTCATAGGCGTCCACAGGTTACTTCAGTCCCTGGAATACAACACAGCCAGTTCCCCTCCCTGAGCTGGACTCTGATTGGCCTTGCTTCTAGAAAGGCTCTGCTTGTCTCTTCAACGGTTTGTATACCTTTTAGCATGGTACAGACCTGTGCCAGAAGCCCATCAGTCTTATTTAAAAACTCATTTTAAAACTGGACATAGTGGTACATACCTATAATCCCAGCCCTTTGGGAAGTTAGAGACAGGACGGTCTTCAGTTACTCTCCACTATATGAGTTTGAGGCCAGCCTATATTACAAAACAATGAAACATTCAACAGAGTTACCATCAACTCAGGAATCTCACTCCTAATTATATATCCAAGAAGAATGAAAACATTTTTCCACACAAAACTTACACATGAATGTTCATGGCATTATTCATAGTAGTTTTTTTTTTAAGTGGAAGCAAACTAGATATGAACAGGCAAATAAAATATGGCATATCCTTACAAAGACTCCTCATTTAGCCAGAGTGCTGGGTAAAAAGTCAGTCACAAAAGACCACTCGCATGCCCTGTCCCTACATAGAGGGTCTGGAGTCGCAGACCAGTAGTAGGGAGTTAACTAAGGCTGGAGGTAGGTGTGGAGGGGCATAGGGATGACTGCTAATGGATATAGACTTTCTTTCTGAGGTGACAAAATAGTGACACGTGCCTATAATCCTAGCACCAGGAAGGCTGAGGCAGGAGGATTGTGCATTCTAGGCAAGCCTTGGCTACTTAGTGAGATCCTGCCTCACGAAACCAAAAAATAAAAACTCTAAGATTAGACTATGGTAATGGTCTCACAACTCAGAATATTTTTTTAAAACCCAAAACATTTAGTTGTACATTTAAATAATTGAGTTTTATAATGTAGAAATTGCATATACATTTTTTTAATTAAAAAAAAATTCAGAACCCTCTACACCCATTAATTCATTCATTCAACAAATACTTCTTGAGTCACATCCTGTTTCAGGGGTAAGGATGTCAGGCAAGATCCCTGGCTTTCTGGGTGTCTGTTTTTTGGAGGGCAGTGTGTGACGGTGAAATGGGATAGGGATGGAGAGTGGCAGGGTTGAGCCTTAGACTACTCTTCAGAGGGCAGGCCACTCTGGGAAGGGGGCATCAAGAACTGGCTCCTAGCTGGGCATGGTGGCACATGTCTTTAATCCCAGCACTCAGGAGGTAGAGGCAGGTAGATCTCTGTGAGTTTGATGCCAACCTGATCAAGTTCTAGGCCAGCTGTGGCTATAGAGAAACCCTGTCTCAAAAAGACAGAAAAAACAAAACAAACAACAACAACAACAAAAAAAAAAAACAACTGGCTCCTGAGGAACTGAGGAACAGCTCAGGTAGGTCAGGAATTGGGAGAAAGGAGGTCTAGGCAGGCAGACTTAGGCTAGACCCTGAGGTGCACTTCCCATGGGCCTAGTACCCAGTGGACCCTAAGAACATTGTCTACACAGGATGCACCCCAGTCTGAATCAAACAGGGCAGTCCTATCATAGATTGGGATCCACCAAGGACAGGCTTATCTGCCCCTCCAACATGGGGCCCTGAGCAGGTTGAGATGTCAGTACAGAGGCTTGAGGTGATTGAGTTATGGGGGGGCCTTCTCTCCCCATTCCTTCCCCATCAACCTGACTAGAAAGAGTATCACTAACTGGCCCTGGCTCCTGGAAGGATGGGCTGCAGGCTCCTCTGAGGTTGACAGAGACTGTGGCTGCTCCATAGACACTGTGATTTCTACCATTCTGCCCTCTACCCCTCTCCACTGGTCCTCTGTATGAGGTGGTCCACTTTGGCAGGGGAAAGGTGAGGTCTTGAGCATCCCTGCCACAGAGAAAGAGCTCCTGAGGAGAAAGGCAGTGTTCCAGACCCTGGGGCTGGCCTCAGCAGCATTCCTCCCTACCTAGGGGCAGAGAGCAGGAATGGGTCTTGGTCCTGTTTGGAGCTATGCAGTCTGCCCTTTTTTCACAGCACCAGGAAACCAAGAATGGGTGCCCAAGATAAGGTTACACCAAGGTAGTCACATGTGTACCTGGTAACCAGGGCTGAGAAGGGCCAGCAGCTTGCTCAAGGTCACACAGCCAGCCTCTGTGGCCCAGCAGGCAACTCTAGTACAGCCAGACTAGGAGAGGGAGGACCCTGGCCCCTCCCTCTTTCCACTCCCATTTGTTCCTTCCGTGTGGAGCCATTAATAAGTAACTTAACCATTTCTCAGGCCTCCTGGCATGGGTTTCTTAGGCCTTGGAGGAAAGAGATCATTTTAATTGGCCCAAATTCACATCTGAGTCCAGGGCCAGCAGAGAGAAGTCATCTCCAGCTCAGTGCCACTCTCTTCCCATCCAAACCTCAGTTTCCTGATCTTTAAAGTGAGTGGGACTCTTAGGTCCTGGTTGCCACTTTAGCTGGGACACTGTGTGGGACCAATTGGTGGGTTCCTAGTGTATTCCTGGTCCAGCCTCCCAGGATCACTTGCAGGGTGTGGGAGCAGGAATAGAGATAGACCTGGGAAGAAGCCCAGAGCTGGCACTGGTCCCTGCCCTCTTCCTGTTGGCACCTGTTCTGAGCCTGCATTGACTTTGGGGAAGCCCAGGCTGCAAAGAAGGATGAACACTGGGAAGGGAACTACCTGCCATCTGCAATTAGAATGGAGGAAAATGAGGCTCAGAGGGGCTAAGCATAAGTGGCTTGTTGCAGGTTGCACCGTTGGGCAGTGTCAGAGGTGGTCCTAGACCCCAGTCTTTGTTGTTGGTTGTTTGTTTTCAGACAGGGTCTCACTATGTAGCCCTAACTGGCCTGGAACTCACTATGTAGACCAGGCTGGACTTAAACTCACAGAGATCCTCCTATTTCTGCCTTCCAGTGCTGGAATTAAAAGTATGCACCACCATACCAGCTTTTTTGTGTGTGTGGGTGGAGGGGGGCATTTAGAACTTAGTCTTTTGACTACACATCCCACTGCATCCTTGATACCAAAATCTTTTGGCATTATCTCTTTGTAATCTTCAAAGGGATCAGAGGCAAGCTCTAAGAAAAGATATTGTCGAAGGGGCCATTAACTCAGCCGTTTAAAACAGGCAATAGATGTACTTTAGTCTGGTCCTAGAAACAATACACCATTCTAAAGGATTTCTGGAATGTCCACTCCAGCCCTGAATCACCTGGAAGAATGGGCAACCTAAAGGCCACAAACAAAAGTTTTCCAATTCATAAATGTCCTCATTTTCTGGGAACAAGACTCTACCTTCCTGGCCCCCTAAAATCCCAGGCCAAATACAGGGTCAGCCCTTCAGGCTCCAGCTGTAGGCCTAGACTCAAATCACAGCTCAGGACCTAGCAAGAGGCACAGGGAAACCATTTCCCAAGTCTGGTTCCTGCTATCCAGGGTTCACTCATGGGTCAAATGGGCACAAGTATGAGGTCTACTTAACAGCATTGTCATGTGTACCAAATGTCTGTAACACTATAAACCACTGTAAACAAATGTCAGTGGCTTTCATGAAGACTGTAAGGCCAGTCATACCCATCCTCTCCTTTCCTATACCTCCCCATGGTTCCTTCCTATCTCAGCTTACTGATCTTAGGTCCCAGTCTCTCAGGATTTTGCTACAAGCCTCACTGCTGTACTGAACCACTTTCACACATACTCATGCTAGACACACACTAGGCATGGACTAGCCACTGAGCCACAAATGTCAACGCTCTCACCACCCCCACTCTTCTTTTTAAGATAAATGGTCTGGCTATGTAGACCAGGTTGGCCTTGAGCTCCTGACCTTTTTCCTTTAGCTTCCCTAGCACTAAGATTACAGGCATGTGATGATACCCAAATTTCTCAAGGCAATAAAGAGAATGTATTAATTCCTCAAAGGAGCATTTATGGGGCTGGAGAGATGGCTCAGCAGTTAAGAGTGCTAGCTGTTCTTGCAGAAGACCCAGGTTCGAATCCCAACATCCACATGGCAGCTGACAACAATCTATAACTCCAGTTCCGGGGATCTGATGCCCTCCTCTGTCCTCTGCAGGCACTGCATGATACTGTTGTACTTACATACATGAAGGCAATACATGCATACACATAAAACAAAAATTAAAATAAAAAAAAGAATATTTAAATGACTCAGAAGTGAGGGTTGGTAAGGGGGATTCTTGAAGCTGCACATAAGAGACCCTCTTGCTAGCCATGAAGTTGGGTCACAAGAGACTGCCTAGTCTATCTTGTGCAAGGAAAGCAAGTAGGGGTAGTGAGAGAGGGAGCGGGGAGGAGAGGTTTGTGGTTTTCATCAACCCTCTTGTGCATCCCGAGGAGGCAGATGAGATGGTGGTGCATGTCAGGAAGCAGAAGCAAGAGCAAGCACGGCGGCAGAGCTGGATGGCAGCACCGGGGACTGTCAGAGCAGGGCCCAAGGGAGAGCTGCAAGAGCAGGGGTGACCTGAACAGACCACCCACATCCCAGCTGCCTTCCCTTTATCCTCTTAATGCCAGCCTTGAAGAAGGTCTACCCCAGGTTCGGCGTAGGAACAGACAGGGGTCATGAACAGTAATCTCCCCAACAGATCAGCCTGGAAATGAGAAAATAATAAAATAACAAACTGCTGCTATCGACAGAGCTCGTTTGATAAAGGCTTTAATCAGATATGGAGCCAGATGAGGTGGCTGAGTGCCAAAGGAATAGGAGGCAGAAGACTGCTGGATCTCTGGGGACACCCCTCTTCCCTTCCATTGTGCTGGGACTTCAGAGAGATCTTCTTGCCCCCTACCTCTCCCCTTTTATAATCTGAAGCATTCTTCCACAACCTCTAGAGCCTTGTTGCTACCCAAGCCCTTCCTCCTAACACAGCACATTTGCCTGCAAACTGGTTCCTAGGACACATGTCTTTGATCCTTTTGCTGAGAGTTTAGTTATTGGGTAGAGTGCCCCAAGAGGACCTTGACAGAGTCTTGGGCCTCATCCACTCATTCTCTCATGGAGGGGAAGAGGGGACAGACTTCAGCACGCATGCTGAGGGCTCCTCTGACCTGTGAACCTGGAACCACTCAGACTAGTCTCAGCAGGGACAGCCTCAAGGCTTCCCTTCCAAACACTTGCTAGGCACACAGTCCCTGAACTCTGTCCTTGAAGAAAGGTCACCATATTACCCAAATACTTGGCTGTGTCTTTGGTCCTGGCAGCTTAGACTTCTGCCTGAGAAGAATAGCTCTTGTCCACTCCTGTGTGGAGGGCGTATGTAACTCATTTTGCTCTGCTCCTACCCAGCCAAGGACATCTGATTTCAGACTCACCCTGGGTCCCTCCTTTATCTGCAGGTATATGGCAACATTCCATTGAAAATGCTCAAAGCAGCTTCCCTAAGAGGGTTAGGAATATTGTTGCATAGAATTATTTGAAGTGAGCAACTTAAGGTTTAAGCAATATAAAATAGTAGTTGGGCTTTGTAAGTACCATGTTCCATGGCATCTGGCATGCTCACAGCAGCCCTACGAAGTCATTGCTGTAGTCAGGACATAAGCCCAATTCAAGCACCTGTCTACACCCCATAGCTTGTGAGCAGTTCCCTTCCTGCAGGTGGTGGGGCAGGGGCTGGGTTCCGAGCCTATGGAGGACAAGGAGGAGCCTCCTGGAAAGCCTCTGGGGCCCCTCTGCTGACTCCAGCTCTCCCCTGCCCAGCTTGGCCCAGTCATTATGGGCCCTCTTCACCTCTACCCTGGCCATCTCCCTGGTGTTTGCTGTCATCCCCTTCTGCCATGATGTGAAGGTGCTGGCCTCGGTCATAGCACTGGCGGGCCTAGCCATGGGCTGTATCGACACTGTGGCCAACATGCAGCTGGTGAGGATATACCAGAAGGACTCAGCCTTCTTCCTCCAGGTGAGCTGGGTAGAGGGGGGCTGGGCAGTGGGCAGAGTGCAGGGAGCTGTCCAGGCCCCATCCTTCTCCTCAGGGTAGGTGGTGACTAGTCTGTCTTGATCCCTTACTGGCTGGGCCCAATCAGTAACCCAATACCTGGGCTTGGGTTTCTTGTGACTCCAGAGGGGTAATAGTACGGGCCTGCCTTACTGGCCTCTCCCAGAAACCTCAGTGCTGGTGAAACTTCTCTAAAACAGGAAAAGTAGAGGGTTTGCTGTCTGCTCTCTTGTATTTCCTCTTTAGTCACCCAGTGTGTGTGGCTGGGACCAAATACCTAACAAACAGCAAGTTAAGGGAAGAAAGTTTATTTCCGCTTACAGTTCAGGGGAATGCTATCCATCATGGTGGGGAAGGAGTGGTATCAGGAGTGGCTCAATAGCCTGGTGTGATGGCGCATGCCTTTAATCCCAGTACTTGGGAGGTAGAGGTAGGTAGATCTCTGTGAGATTGAGGCCAACCTGGTATATATAGCAAGTTCCAGGTCAGCTGTGGTTTCAGGAGACCCTGTCTCAAAAAAAAAAAAAAAAAAAAAAAAAAGTGATTCAATCCTAATCCTAGCACTCCGGTGGCACTGTGAGTTCAAGGCCAGCCTGGTCTACATAGAGAGTTCCAGATCAGTCAAAGCTACATAGAGAGACCTGTCTCAGAAAAGAAATAAAATAAAAATAGGATAAAATAAAATAGTGACTCAGTCCTGGGTACCAACCAGGAAGCAAAGAGGGGGATGCCAGTGCTCAGGTGGCTTCCTCTGTTTTCCTTTTTATTCAGTCCTGGACTCCAGATGATGGTATGTTGATACCCACATTTGGGGCGGGTCTTTCCTCTTCAGCTAAACCTTTCTGGAAAGGCCTCAGATACACCCAGAGGTATATTCTTTAGTGCCTTAAGCAATTCTTAATCCACCCAAGTTGACAAAATTGACCACCACACCAGGCAACAGCACCAGGACCACCCACTGTCACTGCAGTTATCAGGCCCAGGGAGTGGTGAGAAGGGCTTTTTCTCTTCGCTTTTCCTTCCCTCTCCTGCTTCCCAAGTCTTTCTTTCCACTCTAGGGTCAGGCAGGGGCCCCTGGGTGGGGCACAAGGTAAAGGTGAGGGGAAGTGAACTTTCTGGATGGGTCTTGAGCCAGGCTGAGCTGTGCCCACTCCCATTTAGGTACTCCATTTCTTCGTGGGTTTTGGTGCTCTGCTGAGCCCCCTGATTGCTGACCCCTTCCTGTCAGAGGCCAGCTGCTTTCCTGCCAACAGTACAGCCAACGCCACCTCCAGAAACCACCTGTTCCATGCCTCCCGGGTCCTGGGCCAACACCATGCAACAGCCCAGCCTTGGTCAAACCAGACCATCTCCAGGCGACCCCCAAAGGATGTGGCAGAGAACCACGTATCCTATGCCTTCTGGATCATGGCCCTCATCAATGTGAGTGTCACTGGTGCAGATGGGGTAGGGAGTTGGGGGACAGTTCGTGTCTCCCAGTCCAGGTCCCCTGTGCAGAAACTTTGGATTCTGAGAAACATGTTGGGGTCCAGGGTATATGACCAGGAAGCAAAAGGAAGGAGAGAGAAGTGACCTGCCAGGGTCATCTTGAAGGACCCTCAAGTGTGACTCTTTTTGCAGTTCTCAAGGAAGGCAGGTAGTAAGCAGGTTTACACACTGACAATCAAGGTCAACTTTCAAGCTCTCTGAGGCTCTATGGGAAGCCAGCTCGTTTCCTCCCTGGTCAAGAGGCCACAGCAGATAATGGCTCCTTCCCTGGGGTCCTTCATCACTGATGGGGATCTCCTGGACCCTACTGCTTGGGTTTCTATCTTCTTACACGGGCCTGTGTAGAAATAGCAAGGTGCCCACTCACTGTGACTAGCTTAGGTACTGAGGTTCCTTTTGAACACCTGACCAAGTCACAGTGACTCTGGCTTCTACCTGGAAGCCTCCAATGATCTGCAACCAAAGAGGGTTCCTATGTTGACCCAGATGGAACAGAGGGGAGCTCCCCACCCCAGCAGGCTTGGGAGTGACAGTTTAGAACATTTGAGCTACCTGGCTTCCTGGCTCTGGCTCACCTCGGGGCTGGTGATAAGGCTATTCCATGCGGTCATTTGCCTAGCTGTGGAATGGAGGCCCAGTGTGGCTTGTCACTCTGGCAAAGAGCCCCTCTGCAATAGGCACCTGGTCCTCCAGAGACAGTAGGCTACTGCTGTGCCTCAGAGGAATGAATAGCTGCATGTAATTGCACTGATATACCGAGTCCCCACCACAGTTGCAATGAGCAGCACAGAAGATTGTCATACCCTCACTGCTCAAGATCCTGAGAAAGCTAGAAAGAGGCCAAGTCTCAGTAGACACCCACCACCCGCTGCCACATAGTCCTACCTTTCCTGGGCTGGAATGTCACCAAGCACTCAGCTATGGCAGCAGTCTCCCCTCATCATTGTTGTTTTGAATCAAGGCAGCTTTGAGCCTGTGTCTTCCAAGGGAAGGAGCCCTATGGTATAACCTGGGAATCTGCAGTCAGGAAGCCCTGCATAGGCCCAAGGCCTGTTTTTGCCCCATGAGGTGCAGACTGGAGAGATTGCTTGCTACAAGATTTCTGGGCATTTCTCTATTTATGTCTGAAAATAAATAGACCACCACCGAAGGAATACCATAGTGTATGCACTCACTCACACTCATACATGTGTATACCTGCCTGGCATGAACTGGCTTTCAGGGTGGCGCTGGAGTCCCTGGATGGGATTCCTATAAAAACTGAGCATGTTCCTGTCAGCATGCCAGTCAGTCAGCTATGAAGCCTTTCCCTTTGCCCTCCTCCCTGGAAAGGTCACCTGAGTGCCAGGCTCCAGCCCAGCTGCTTCCTCTTGGCCTTCTCCCAGGCTTTTTGCCTGTGTGTGCTTCCTGTTTCCCCAACCACTGGAGGAAGGGCTGGGTCTCCCCCATAAGGCTGGGACTCCCCAAGGGCCCATACAGGACCCCATGTATGACTTTACAGCTGCCAGTTGACCTTGACTTTGTTGTTATAAATTATTTGTGAGGTCTCGCTATGTTCCCCAGGCTGATCTTAAACTTTTGTCTTTTATTTATTTTTAATATTTATTTATTATTTCTTTGTATATGAGTATATTGCCTGCATGTATGTAAGTGCACCCATGCCATGCATTGCCCGCAGAAGTCAGAAGAAGGTGTTGGATTCCCATGGAATTGGAGTTACAGATACTTGTTAGCCTCCATGTGGGTGCTAGGGCTCGAACCTAGGTCCTCTGTAAGAGCAGCCAGTACTCTTAACCACTGCGCCATCTCTCCAGCCCAACTCTTGCCTTTTAAAGAGTAACTAGGACTGCAGGTGTGTTCCACCACACCTATCAATGACCTTGACTGGCTTTAGAGTATGGAGAAAGGCTCTCAAGGTCACCATAGCATGGTGTCAGCATGGGGTTGAGTAGATTTTTGTCTTTAGGCTGGTGAGAGCAGCTTTCCTAGGGGAGGGCAAAGGGCTCCCTCAGAGCAACACACTGCCAAGTTGGATGTCTACTTGGTTACCATCCCTACCTGGCTTATTAGCTAGACACACTTAAACACCTCTGGAACTTCCTGTGGCTCCCTAGACTTCCTCTGCTTCCTAAGAGAAGGATCCAGGCAACAGTCACTAGAGGAAGAACAGTGATTAGATTTGATAGAGTTCCTGGCAGCAAAGGTATCTGAGCAGGGGCACCCGAGGGAGGTAGTTGGTGCTTCTCTAGGCAACCTCAGCAGTAGGAGGAGTTTCCTGGTGCTCTAGGGAGCACTAGAGGGATTAAGTGGCTCAGTGTAAGGAGCACAGAACTGAATGATGGGCTATGGGGAGGGGTGCTTGGAAAATAGGCACTTGTCAATCACTCACACCTGTGTTTTCTAGTTTAGACATCAAACTTCTAATATCTCTGTACCTTCCAAGAACATAACATCACCCCAGTGGCAACCAGAGGTAGGGATACACTGAGAGGAATCAGGATGCCAACACTAGCTGTGTGGTGGCAACTGTTCACTCTTTGGGTCCCTAGTTGGACCTCCCAGGTCTCTTCCAGTTTCAACAACCTATGCCTACACAATAGCTTTGAGCCTCATTTGCCCCATCTAGAAAATGGGATTATGATTCTTCCATCACTTTTTTTTTTTCTCTTGACAGTGCTGGAGTTGGAACCCAGGGCCTTGTGCATGGTAGACAAGCACTGTCTGCTGAGCCACATCCCTGGCCCTCAGTTGTTTTACCTAGCTATGAAACAGACAAAAGCAAAAGGCATCATGCTGCAGCAGCATTTGGTATAAGGGTGTTAGCAGCTAATTAGCACCTGTCCTGAGCCAGCAGTGGCCCCTTTGAGTCCAGGCTTTGAACCCCTCTATCTCTAAGTGTATGGATATCAAGGGCCAGTGGTGCTCATACCAAGTGTATGCAGTGTCTGGGTGGCTGGCTCATGGGCTAGCAAAGGCTCTTCGGTGAGGTGGGCCCCTTGTGAAAAGCTGCCTTCTCCCACAACTGTGAGCCTGTAGCACAGGCCAAACAGCACATGGTGCGGCAGCATGCCAGGCATCCTGACCCTCTGCTGCCCCCAGCTCCCAGTGCCCCTGGCTGTGCTATTCCTGCTGTCCAAGGAGCGGCTGCTGACCTGCTCCCAGAGGAAGCCACTGCTCCTGCCCGCAGATGAGCTTGCACTGGAGACCCGGCCTCCTGACAAGGAAGACACCTCGCTGGCCCCCAAGTTTCAGCCACACCCAGGTGCGGGCTCCCATGACCTGTCCTGGCCGTCCTGGTAACTCCACCCCCAGAAGAGAACCTAGATCCCAGTGACAGCAGTTAGAAACAGTCTTTGCTCCTGGCAATCTGGTGAGGCAAGTGATGGAGCCACCTGGCCAAGAGAATGAGGAAGGCAGACTGGCTCTAGCCTCCAGCACCTCACAGATGTCTGGGTTACCTTAGGGGAGTTACTTGACCTCTCTGAGCCTTGATTTCACCAGGACTGGGGAAAGAGCAAGGGTTGTTCCCCACAAGTAGCTGAAAGCTAGAGGAGGTAGAGGTGGCAAGCACCCCCTGCCTGGGGTCTCCTGACTGCCAGCCACTTCCCCTGGGCTAGTGGAGAGAAGGGACAGAAGCTGGCTCAGCCCTGCCCTTCTGTGCCTCCCTCAGGGCAGGAGGACCTGTTCAGCTGCTGCCAGAGGAAGAACTTCCGGGGAGCTCCTTGCTCTTTCTTCGCCATCCACATCACAGCTGCTCTGGTTCTGTTCATGACAGATGGAATGATGGTGAGCCTTCCTCCTAGCGCATGCCCTACTGGGGAGAAAGAACACTGAGGTTCTCAGAACGTCACCTGCAGTACAGTGTCCTGACCTCTCCTGTAGCACTCACAGCCCATGGGAACCAGGACTCTTCTCTGTCCTTGTCAATTGTATTTATTTTGTTAATGCTAGAAAGGGGCCTGTCTGGTGTTTTGTTTTGTTTACAATTCCAGATGGTTTGTACTTTTTAATTTTTTTTGTTTTTGTTTGATTTTGGAGGGAGCCAGGATCTAATGTAGCCTAGACTGGCTTTGAACTCTTGATCCTTCCTCTTTAGCCTCCTGAGTGCTGGGCTTATGCCCACTGTGACCCATATTTTTGAAAGGTGCAAAGAAAGCCCTGTTCACTCTTACTAGAGGCCATGCTATATAAACTCTGGGGCACTCAACTTGCTGGCATGTGCTGAAAACCTGCCTTTACAAGACAGTGCTATGAACAAGCCATACTCTAGCTCAGCTGACCACTTCACAAATGACCTGTGTTATGCTATTTAGTAGTATCTCGTTCTAGAAATCTAGATCTAAATTAGGGCAGCCTTGAATAGCTGGTTGATTGACTGCTGTAAGAGAGATGTTCCTGTCCACATGTCCCAGCAACAGACCTGGATGACTTGCACCACCCAGGGTGAATTTGAGTATGTCTCCTCTTTCTTGACCATACCTTTTTCTTTCTAACTAGGGGCAGACATAGAGACATCTCTCATGTGGTGTCATGGTACCCATTCTGTCCTCAGATTGGGGATGAATGTGCCCTGTGGTCTTGGTTCCCAGAACATTCAGGGACATTCTGCCTCTGGGAACAGTCAGCCTCCTCAGCTCTTCTGCTCAACCTAGGCTGAATGTGCTCAGCAAGGCTTGCTCTCCCTGCAGGGTGCGTATTCTGCCTTTGTGTACAGCTATGCTGTGGAGAAGCCACTGTCTGTTGGACACAAGGTGGCCGGTTACCTCCCCAGCCTCTTCTGGGGCTTTATCACGCTGGGCCGGCTCATCTCTATCCCTGTCTCCTCAAGAATGAGGCCCGCCACCATGGTATTCATCAATGTGGTAAGTGGCCAAGAGCCCTCTTTCCCTTCTTAGAGACACAGAATTTGTCTACTCTTGGGCCTTACCACTACCCAAGACATTTGCTGGGAACCAGATTCTGCCAGCATACTAGAAATGCAGGAATGGAGGAAGAAAGATGCTGGCAAGAAAGGATGGAGGTCTAGAAGGTAAAGCCTGCTTTATGTGGTGCTAGAAAAGTCCTTCCCCTGTCGGGGCATCTGATTGTATATCCTTAATAGCACCAACAAAAGAGGTTATAGATGATTGCAGTGGTGTGGAAATCAGTCCCTAGCTAACATCTGAGGGATGCAGACCCCAGCCTTAGTCCTGCTGTATTTCTCACAGCGCCTAATTGTTTGGAGCCCTGTAGCCATAGTCATCGCATCTGGCTAGAACTGGGAATTTGACTTTAGACACCCTCCAGCAGATTCTCAGATGGCCAGACTGGCATGTAACCAGACTGAAGAACTAGCTTGCCTGGGATCAGGCCCTTGCCTGGACCATGCAGTGGGTTTAAGACTCATGTCGTGATGTACATCCACATCACCATCTATGACAAAGGGACTCCAGATTATAAAATCCCTAGAGTTACCTAGTTTAACCTCCCGCCAAAGCTTAGATCAGTTCTCAAACATCCCTAACAATGGGTTCCCAGTCTGTTTAAATACCTTCAGGGATTAGGACTCACTCCTTTTCTAAGTAGTCCAGCCCACTGTAAGAAAGCACTTCCCAGCCAAGTATGGTGGTGCACCCCTACAATCCCAGCACTTGGAGACAGAGACAGAAGGACTGAGTTCAAGGCCATCCTGAGCTGCATAGAAAGACCTTGTCTCAAAATAAATGCTTCTGGCTGTTCTGAGGAGGGGCAGATTGCAGAGGCAAGAGCAAAGGCAGGGCCAGGGGATGCCTACTCTTGGAGACTAGCTGAGAGAGGGAGGGGCTTAGATAAGAGTGACCTCAATGCATGGGGAGAGGCATGAAGACTCTCTGAGGCAGCATAGATAGGACTTTTGTGGTACAGGAGCATAGGGGGAAAGGGAATAGGGTTCAGGAATAGTCTAGAATGGTCACATGGATAAAGATTGTATTATTCACCCTTCTAGCACATAGTGGCATGCTTAAGGCGATTATGAAGAGAAAAGGGTTAACTTGGCTCTCACTTTTGAGAGTTCTAATTTGTGATTAGAGGGACCACTGCTTTGGGCCTCTGGTAGAGCACTGGATGGCAATGGCTGGAGTGGGGCTGGGCAGATTGTTCATGTTATGAGCCAGGAAGCAAAGGGAGAAAGGAAGGAGTGGAAACCTCACAGTCCCCTTTGACAACAGGCTAGTGACCCAAGTAAGGATTTCCTTATAGGATCAGCCTGCTACAGTAACATCCTGAACATCAAACCTTGATCTTGATTTGTGGGCCTTTCAAAATCCAAATGACAGCAGAGAAGCTGTGCCCTGCTTTAGAGTTGAGTGTTTTATTTGCTCATTTCTTGTGCTTAAAGTCTTCTTCAATGATATCCCAAGCCTGAGATTGTTTGCCATAGTCCTTAGCTAGTACACAGAGGCAGCTGACCACTCTGTTGGGTTTCCCCGCAACCTATCAGTTCTCTTGTTTCTCCAAGTCATCAGCCTTATCAGGTTGATGTGCTAAGCCCCAGAAGCTCTACCTTGAAATATGCAGCTTCTCACAGTTGGATACAGGCACACAAAAATGTGTTTGGTGCTAATTGAAGGTTTTCACAGAGTCATAGGTTTCACATGTTGGGTCTGGGTAGTCTTCCACACTTCATTAAGCATAGTTCATGTCCAGCACACTCTAGCAGTAATGCCTTCCTTGGTCCTGAGTTACAGGTGAAACCAAATCTTTTTTTCTTTTGAGTGTTTTTAGTGCTGCTAAGGATGTGTTTTACCACTGAGATGTACCCCAGCCCCTGGAGCTGAATCTTGAATACATCTAGTGGACAACAGAGAAGGAACAGGATGTGCAATTAGTTGCTGCTCAGAGGACAGCTAGAGGAAACTGCAAGTTTGGTGTGTACCACACCATTAGTGGCCCTCAGGGTGACTGTGTCTGTGTGGCAGCTTTATGTGCATGTCTGAAATTCTGGACTGAGGTCATGGCTGTGAGGACAGCAATAGGAGTTCCTGGTACAGAGTTAGGGACAGTTGTTAGCTGCCATGGTGCTGGGAACAGAACCCAGGTCTTCTGCAAGAGCAGTCAGTGCCCTTAACCACTGAGCTATCTCTCCAGCCCCATTTGAAGCCTTGGAGCTACACTGAATGAGATACGAACAGAGAAACCAGAAGAGAATCCTTGGTCACACCAACATTCAGGAATTGAACAGGGAGAAAGAAAGAACAATTGGAGTTGTTGTGGGGCCACCTTCTGTGCCAAAGAAATATGTTGTATTTGGAACCAGAGATATATCCATTGCTTTTGCTTTAAAAAAATAAAAATAAAAAATCTATGGGGCCTAAGCCATCTGTGATGGTGCATGCCTTTAATCCCAGCATTTGTGGGGCAGACAGACAGGTCTCTGTGAGATAGAGGCCAGCCTGGTCAAGTTCCAAGCTAGCTAGGATACTAGGATACAAGGAGGAAACCGCCCCCCAATTTTTAATGGGGCTGGAGAGATGGCTTAGTGGTTAAGAGCATTGGCTGCTCTCATAGAAGACCTGGATTCTGTTCCCAGCATCCACATAGCAACTAACTACTGTCCCTAACTCCAGTTCCAGGGGATCTGATGCCCTCTTCTGGCCTTTATGGGCATTGCATGCACGGCTGCATTTAAATGTAGGAAAAACACTCATACACATAAAATAAAAATAAATAAATCCAAAATAATTAAATTTTATTATTGTGTATGTGTGCGCACACATACACATGTGTCCAAGTCAGAGGACAACTTTGTGGAGCTGGTTCTCTCCTTCCACCTTTATGTGGGTTCCAGATATTGAACTCAAGTCATCAGGCTTGTATCATAGGGCAACAAGTGCCTTTACCCACTGAGCCATCTAGCTGGCCTTGCACTTAAAAGTTTTTTGAGACAAGATCTCACTATGTAGGCTCAGAGTGCTTCTGATTCGCAATCCTCCTGTAGGAGTCTCCCAAGTCCTGGAATCTCATGGGTACACCACCAGCTGCTTTTGTGTTTTTACCATAGGAAAGAAGTCCTTCGTGTAGTCTCTCTGTGGTGAAGGGCTGTGTTTTATCTTCAGCCACTGTTTCTTGGAAGTGACCTTCTCCAGGGCAGAAAGGCTGAGTCTGAGGGTGATTTTGAGACTCTCCTGAGAGATTGTGAGTCAAAGCTAATGGGAGTGATGTACTGGGATCACTGGTTTTGCTTTTCCAGTAGATGCAATCCCCAGGGTCTGCTGTGACTCTCTAATGGTCTCTTCCCGTCTGCCTGCCCAGTTCCTCATCTATGAAATGGAGGGAGTGGATGCTGGACTAAATGTGCCCCCCCATGCATAATTTCTAAGTCTATATATTTATTTTTCCTAGAAACAGATATACTCACCCAGGATACTGTTTGTTTTGTGGATCTAGGGATTAAGCCCAAGGTCTTGGACACCCTGGTCAAGTGCTTTACCACTGAGCTACATGTCTAGCCCCAAACCAGAGCATTTCACCTCAGAGAGAAAGATAGAAAATCTTTCTCTCTTAGAACATGAAGAAAAACACACATGGGGCTATGGTGTAGCTCAGTGGTAGAGTACTTGCTAAACATGCATTAAGGCCTGGGTTTGTCTCCCAGAACTGGGGCACGGGGGCAGGAGGAGAAACCCACACAGAAATATTAGGAATAATATAACATTTGTTGGAAGCTTGACACTTTACAATCTTTTTGAATCATTTCACCACCAGCCTTTGGTCTCCCCTTGGTAACTACCAGCATAAAGACTAAAGAAGTTAGGGTTCAGGGGGACAGCTACTTCAAGGCTCCACAGCTGGATGCACTCAGTTGGCACTTGCATCCGGGGCTTTAGACTCCAGATCTTGTGCTGCTCTAGTTTCTTCCTAGACGTGTGTGACATAGAAATCACTCAACACTTACATAAAAACATTTTTAAAGAGCTCAGAAATTGGGTTATTTTAACAAAAATTTGCCCATGTGGCAGAGACTGCTGAGCTCCAGTGATTTCTAAGCATATTAAGAGTCTCCAACAATTAGTTAGCTCTGTCCATGGGGTTTGAACTACATCTGAGGGGTCACCAAGCTGGTTACCATAACCATTGATCCACCCCATCTTAGATTCCCAGAGAATGAGGACCCTGAGGCCATCACCCATTCTTCTGGCTTATGGTTTCCTTACTCTGGACCCTAGAACTCACAGAGAAGTGCCATGTCATACAGCCCACCTCTACCACCAGTAGGGGATTGCCGATTACTTGGATGAATTCCCCATGGATACAGGGAAGACCTTGGGGACAAGCAATGTATATTCCGTAGTGTTTACTGGGTGCTAATATAGGCCAGTCGCATAGATGTGCAGGTGGGCTTGGCCTCCCTGTGCTGTCATATCCTCAGGGCCTCCTGGACTCCAGATTAGGACCACTGTAAGTACCAGCTAAGCCATGGGGTGGCACACCAGCCACACAACACTGCTCCTGGAGCCAGAGAGGGACTGCCTAAGTTTTCCCTTTCATAGAAGCCCAGCCTAGCCTCCCTCTAATTGCCTACATCTCTGCTGTGACAGGTGGGAGTGTTGGTGACATTCCTGTTCCTGCTTATTTTCTCCTACAATGTCATCTTCCTGTTTGTGGGAACAGCAAGTTTGGGCCTGTTTCTGAGTAGCACCTTCCCAAGTATGCTAGCCTACACTGAGGACATCCTCCAGTACAAAGGTGAGTGGCAGAGGCAAAGGAACACAGAGGCATGCTCTCTGTAGCTGGGGACCACCTCCTCTCCTACCCTCATCTTCCTGTGGTATTGTTGGCCTGGACTGCCATTTAGCGGGAAGGTCAATACCTGCTGGCATGGGTGGAAGCAGGCATGCTTGGTCATGGGTATCTTGTCCATGTCCATCTTTATGTCCCCATCCCCCACTTGTAGACCACAGAGAAGCAAGGCTTCCCTTTTCTATTTCCTTCTTCCATATGGTGGCCTGGTGCTGTCTGTGGACCTACAGCTGATAGCTTGAGGATCATGGATGCACTGAAAATTCCAAATTCAAAGAAAAACAAATCTGCATGGAAAAACTGTCAAAGGAAAGGCATTTCGTAGCTCAGGCACAGGAATAGGGAAAACTCCTTGCCTGCCTGATGCTTATGTCGGAAACACAAGATAGGAACGATTCGCCATGAGGTTTAGGGTTGATACAACTCTGATGCCACAAACCTCAGATTCTCCATTTCTCTAGCCTCCCACATGCACTTTAATTAAAAATAATTGTGTTCTAGCTGGGTGTGGTGATACACACCTTTAATCCCAGGTAGAGGCAGGTGGATCTCTGAGTTTGAGGCTAGCTTGATCTCCATATTGAGTTTCAAGCCAGCAGGGGCTACCGGGACACCTATGCCTATTATAATTATTATTATTAGAATATTAATGTAGAGGCTGGAAAACCAGAATTAAATGGGTGATTTCTTTAGAGGAGGGAGAAGTTGGTATAAAGGTAGCATCAAATCAGAGCTACACACAACTTAGTTACCCATAGTCACGAGATGAGGAAACCAGAGGAGAATCTACAAATAATTTTAGCACATAGTGTCATCACTATGACAAACTTGTAAGTTTGTTTTCAAACAGAAAATTTTTAATTATGAAAGTAGTGCATGCTTACTGCAAAAAGCTCAAACAATACAAGCATATTTTAATGCAGAGGGAAAGCAGCTGAAAAAACTGAGCAGTTTTTCTCCCAGTTCCTGCCTGAGAATGTTATATGTATATATATTTAAACCCAAATAAGGCCATATGTACGCTGTTTAATGTTTGCAACTTAGAAGAAAAACAATACACATGGTAGAATGAGTCAAAGAATCAGGTATCTTTGAGTGTCTGGCTTCTGGCTCCTCTGAGTGAGTACAACACATAGCTGAGACACACTCCAAATCAGGGAAGATTCTTTTGAACTATGACTCAGAAGAGGCCCTGTCCTTGGTGGATCTGAGGACAGAAGAGGCATTGGCTAGCATCAACACCCATTCTGCTAACACCGTCTCTGTGCTAATGAGGACAGGATGAAGTACAGAGGACATGTGCAGGAGACACGGTCCCTTCTCCCAGCAGGAGAGGCAGCTTCCCAGGGACCAGAGTGGTCAGACCCTAAACCTCAAGAGAATAAATGATGGAATAATGTTCTCACATGTCACAAAGTTTCAAGAGATGAATAGGTATTAGTCTAGTAGTAGCAGCAAGTTCTGTTGAATGATCACTCAGATCCATCTTCCTGTCATTTCTCACCATCCCTGCTTTAATTTGGCCCTTCTCATCATTTATTTGCTTGGCATACAGTGCTGGCCTTTCCCAAAGTCCAGTCACACCGCCCCCCTCCTTGGTAGGTCTTGTCTCCATTTGATCCGCTAGCTCAGCATTACAATCACCTGGCTCTTTGTGCTACTGTCAGGACTTGGGCTCCTCTCTGACAGCATCCATCCTGGGAGTCTGGGGAGCCCTAAAAAACCACTCTCCATGCTGTTGCAGAGAGCACCCTGAAGCACAGCTCCTTTTTTCTGCAGTCCCCCAGAGTCCGAAGCCTAGACATGCTGAACTACTTAGAGTAGTTGATGGCACGCCAGTCGCTCTGAACCTCCATGCTTTGGCCACAGCCACATGGCTTGGCCTGCCTCTATCCTGCCCCTGCTGAGGAAGTGTCTCTGATCTCCGTGGAAAAGGGTCTTCCTCTTTTGTGTCCCATGGATGTGAGGCCTGTCCCTGCTGTGTGACCCATTTCAAGGCTTCTGTACCTATGCTATGTCCTCTCAGATACACCCCAGATAGGGACAAGAGAAAGAGTGGGCTTCAAGGTCACTGGCAAAGCCAATGACCAACACCAATCCTGTTGATATTTGCAGGTCTATGACCTCAAGTGATTCCATTTCCTTTCCTTTCACTGAGGCTCAATTTTTCTTGTATGTAAAGTGAGAATAAAAATGCCTACGTCATGTGGTGGCTCACACCTGTAATCCTAGCACTTGGGAGGCAGAGGCAGTGGATTTCTTTAAGTTCTAGGCCAGTCAGAAAGTGAGACCCTGTTTCAAACAAACAAAATGCTGGGCCTGGGGTTGTAGGTCAGTGGTAGAGCACTTGCCTCATATGTACAAGACTCTGAGTTTGCTCCCCAGCACCACCAAACAGATGAGAAAGCAAATGCTGATCTTGTGGGAGTGTTTATACACTGGGGAAAATGTAAAGCACCTGACTTCATGTCCCTGAGGCTCACAGGAGCTCTGTCTGGTAGTTTATCATTCACCAGTGAGGACTCTGTTTAGCATTGTACCTCGTGTGCAGAAGGGGCTTAAGGGGTTTTGAAAGAACGAATTGAACAGTTGGGGACCCCTTGGAATTCAGAGAAGGGAGTGAGCAGTATTGAACTCAAAAGTTCAATGGGATGTGAGATGCCCAGGACTGAGAAAGTCTGGGTGGGGAAAAGCAAGGAAGGCATTCTCGGGAAGGATGGGGCAGGGAACAGTATATGCAGGACAGGACAGGCTTGAGGGAGATGGGGGAAGTTGGGGGCTGGAAGGAGGTGAAGCCTTCAGAGATGTGCCATCCTTAGCCACATGCTACTGATAAGCTCTCATGTCTGCAAGGAACTGGAAGGGCAGTCATCCCTGCAGTCACACAGACAGGGCTAGGGAAGAAGCTGCCAACCCAGGCTTAGGAACTAAGGAGGAAGATTCTCAAAGGAAATCTAAGCTCAGGCCCAAGAGATGAATTGGAGGAAGGCAGGGAACGCTCAGAGGGGAGTGAAGACCTGCATTTAAGTCAGACAGGGCCACAGGTCAGGACCACAGAGTTTGTCCTGGCTGGTGGGTTGCTTGGGAGCTGGCAGTGTGAGAAATGACCCTGCAAACCACATGAAGCATTTAGATTTGTCCTGAAGATGAGGGACCTGGCTTCAAGTGTATGCCCCAAGCCAGCTGTCTGTGGGCACTATGAACATATTACAGCAGTCACCTACATAACTTCCTGTTTGACAGAGAAGGAAACCAAGCCTAGAGAAGCAACAGAACTTGTCTAAGAGGACATGGCCAGCAGGTGTCATAATTGGCCTTAGACCCCCAAGTATGACTCTGAAGCTTGGGCCCTGAAGGTCTTAGGAGAGCTTTCTGGAAAGGAAGGTAGTAGATCGGGAAAAGTCCTGAATGCCAGGCTAAGTGCCTGTGAGCAACTGAAAGTCTGGGAATAAGAAAGGGATACAAAAGGACAGTAGGATAGGAAGTGTCAGAAACACAGAAATCCTCTTAAGCCACACCAGCTAGAGGTGTACAGACTGCTCTGGATCCTAATGGCGCTCTTCTATGTCCTCAACTTGCTTTTACCCAACCTTCCCTTCTCACTTTGTTAGGCTGTGCGACCACAGTGCTGGTGACCGGGGCAGGAATTGGCGAGATGGTCCTGCAGATGCTGGTTGGTTTGGTAGGTGGGGTTCTCTGGGGGGCTGGAAGGGGAGGGGACTGGAGAACATCCCTCCAAGCTGGAAAGAAGATATTTCAGCCAGCTACCTTTATATTCAAGTTGTCACTTTCTGAGCCCCAGATAGCCTGTGGGGACATTCAGGCTGGGGCTACCTCTTTCCATTTCCAAGCCAATCAGACTTAAAGCCAGACCTCTGAATGTGGGATGTGGCAACCTTAATGGCTGTGTGCACAAATCCAAAGCAAACACTGCTGTCTGGGCATGGGGCCAGGGGGCCCCATGGGAATGCTTTGGGCTCTGAGAGCCTGGACCGTGTGCCACTGCTGGCAGTTCTCTTTTTCCATCCTGTCCCTGCATCCTCATCTCCTAGCCTGTGGCTGTGGCACCCAGGGCGCAGCGCCTGCCCTGACAACAATCCCCACTCCCAGCTGCCCTTGACATGCTCCCAGGAAAACAACAGAAATGTAAATCAACATTACTTTTCCTTGAAGCTAGCAGGCGCTAGTCCTCTTTTTACAAAAGAGGACCCTGAAACTCAGACTCCTATGTCAGTCAGCTTAGTAACTACCAGCAATATCAGAGCCTGAATTGTTCAGACTCCCAAGTCTCCTCATGGCCACCAGAGTCTCCTTTTGTCTTCTTGTGCCCAGACTGGTGGAGGAGAAATTACATCTTGGATGCCCACTACATTGAAATGCCACCCCTGGGGTTTGCTTTGGGGGGTGTGGGGGGGTTGTTTTGTTTTGAATATTGTTTAATTTTATGTGTATGAGTATATTGCCTGCATGTAGGTAGGTACACCTGTGTTGTACGATACCCAAGGAGGTAAAAAGAGGCTGTCAGATCCCCTGGAACTGGAGTTATAGACAGTTGTTAGCTGCCACGTGGGTGCTGGGAACTGAATCAGGGTCTTCTGCAAGAACAGCCAGTGCTCCTAACCACTGAGCCATCTCTCCAGCCCCATGTGTGTGTTCTTAATTATTTATTTTTATTTCATGTATATGAGTGTTTTGCTTGCATGTAAGCACACCATGTGTATGTTATGCCCACAGAGGCCAGAAGAGGTATCGAATACCCTGGAACTGGAGCTATGGACAGCTGTCAGCCACCGTGTGGGAGCTGGGAACTGAACCAGATCTTCTGTAAGAGCAGCCAGGGCTCTTAACTTCTGAGTCATCTCTCTAGCCCTTGGTGTGTTTTTTTAAGCTGGTGATGGTCTATGGGAGTTCTGTTTGCTACTTTGACACATTTTAAATGTTCATAATAAAAGGTGAACACACCTTTTGCAAAGTTCCAGTTAGGCCTATGTTGGAGTTTCAGTGATCATATGGAGTTTCTCAGAAAGTTCCAGATGGGGCTGGAGAGATGGCTCAGCGGTTAAGAACACTGGTTGTTCTTGCAGAAGACCCGGGTTTGAATCCCAGCACCCACATGACAGCTAACAACTGTCCTTAACTCCAGTCCTAGGGGGATCCGACAGCTTCTTCTGACCTCTGCGAGCATTGCATGACACGGGTGCACTTACCTACATGCAGGCAATACACGCATATACATAAAATTTTTAAAAAATAATAAAAATTTTTTAAAAAGTTCCAGAACACAGAACTGAAGGAGTGCAGGGTATGGCCACATTCAACCCTGACTTTAGAGCAGGGCTTCTGCCTTCTCCAGATCTGTAGCCTTGGGAAGCCCTCCTCAATGGTATGATGGCCTCAGCTTGACTGAGAAGCCTTCAGGGGCCCAAGTCAGCCAGTCTCCTGTGTACCTCCATATGGGGTGCTAATGTCTGCTGTCTATGTTCCCCTCTGGCAGATCTTCCAGGCCCAGGGCAGCTACAGTTTCCTGGTCTGTGGCATGATCATTGGCTGCTTGGCTTTTATCTTCTACGTCTTGCTTCTATTTTTCCACAGGATGCACCCTGAACTCTCATCAGGTAAGGAGAAAATTCCTTTCTACACAAGAGGAGGAAAACAGCAGGGGCAGGGAAAGGCTGTGATTTTAACGCACCAGAAGTGCTGTTCTGTTCCAAATAAAATGCAAGGAAATGTTTATTTTTCTACAGCTTCCCTTTCCCCCTTCCTGCTCTCCTTGCAATTGTCCACGCTGGACTCTGAAGGTCACACAGGCTGACTCACAGATTCTCCATTAGCAGAGGGGATGGAGTGTGAACTTGGCTTCCTGCATCCCACTCTACCATGGATCCCAGGGCCAAAAATCTCTCCCCAGACTGGTGAGGGCAAGGGAAGGTAGAGCCTGCCTCCCTGGCTGGAGCTTAGCCTACCTCTTTGCAGTTCAAGGTTTTGCATCTGGTCCAGATCCCTTCTTCACAAAGAATCCCTTCTAGCCAAACAACAGGGAAGACGTCCTTCAGGACTGAGATGCTTCTAGGAAGACTCCCTCCTGGAGACCCCAGGCCAGGGTAGTACCAAGGCTATTTTTGAACTGAGTCTCCCCTGTTCTTCTATCCAGGGCTTCCAAGATGTTCAGCAACTAGCTGTGCACCAGGATATTCTTAATAGAAGGTCCCCAAGCAGAGCCAATGTCCTCTCTGTAAAAACAGAATAGTTATAAAACAACTGAAGAAATGAGTAGCCATGCTTATCCTCTAAACACTAAGCATAGAGGCCAGCCAGGAGAGTTACCTCCAGGACAGCCTCTGAGAGGGCAAGTAGTGGTTATTTCTAGCCTGGCCCACTGTGTAGAGCTTCACTTAAGATATGCACTCAGGGGCCAGCAAGATGGCTCCTTGGGTCAGGGTACCTGCCACCAAAACTGACACTTTGAGTTCACTCCCCAGGACCCACACAGTGGAAGGAATGACTCCTGCAAGTTCTCCTCCGACCTGTCCTCTGACCTGTGTTGTGGTGTGTGCATCCAAACACATATCCCAATAAAAACTGTGCCATATATGTATATATATATATATATATATGCATCCAATTAATACTTGATGAATATCAAATGCCTAACAGTTCTTATGCTCCTTTATGGGAGGCAAATACTCATCTTTCCCCAGCCCTGGACACTAGTTCCAAGCAACTGCCTCCAGAAACACTTTAATAGATCTCGGTCTGACTTCCGACTGTGCCTTGTATGCCCTAAAGAGTGACAGAACAGCAGAGAAACAAAACACTTGTTCACCTTCAGAGTGAACACTTGCTGGAGTGAGCTGGAGCTGCCCACATGTACTGCCTGTGCTATCTATTTGTGTGTTCCTTTGTAGTTCTTACCCAGGACAAACCCCTTGGCTTGGAGAACTCTGAGTGCTACCAGAGGTGAGATGGGATGCTGGAGGCAGGTGAAGACCTCAGCCTCTGGAGCAACAAGGTGACGAAATTGACACAGGAAGCCAAGGGTGACAGAAGAGGCCTCTCCTGCCACCTTTGTGTGATTCTTCTCCATTCATACTAAACCAAGAAGTTGAATCCTGGTCCCTGGGTTTTTCCTGGACAAATCATTAGGGAACCTGGCATTTTTGTTATTTTCCTCTTCTGTGATTCAGACTTTCAGTCCATGACAGCCAGATGGGAGGGCAAAAGACAGCTCTCATATCACTCCACCATCATCAGGCACGGACCATACCCTGGGTCTGAGATCACCTTTAGTTGAGGTTTGAAAAAAAGAATGTTGAAATTGTAAAGCCCTTTGATCATTGCTAGTTGTAGATATATTTTCAACTAATCCAAACTCCCAAGCATGTTGAAAGGACTCATGTGTTGCTTACTTACTCATGGTCCAAAGTCCCTCCCATTCCTGCTGTAGAAATCAATAGTTCATCTGTATCCTAAGACAGCAAAAAGAGATGTTGAATCCTGCTTTCTTTGAAACACTCGTTCAGTGGTACACTGGGCTAGCTTGGCCCAGCTTATAAAAGCTGACTGCTAAATTTTCGTTTTGAGAGCTAGTTGTTAAGTGCAGCTGTGATTAAAAATTAATTTATAAATAAGCAAAGATAATACTCAACATTGATAATTTTGCCATAACTGATGCTCCAGAGGTCATTATGTCCGTGGCACCCAGGTGGTGGCATTGCTACACAACAGCATGCCACCGGGCTTCTCCCAGCTGCCCAGTAACAGACAATGGGTAGCTTGAAGGCAACCATGGTGCAGAAGTGGGCCAAGGTACACGTCATGGCTGTCCCCAGGAAGCCAACTGTTAAGCATTTACCAGCATGCTGATGCTAATAATCAATGCTAATTAGTCCAGAAAGCACCTGGGAGAATAAAATGGACATCCTATTTTTCTTTACTGACATCCAAAAGGTACAGATGCAGCAGAGAACTTTAAAAAGTAGCTCATTGAAATTTTGTATCTTTTATAGAGGAAAAATTTTATACTATGTCAAGGTCTTTGGTTTTTTTTTTCCATAAAAAGCTGGGACTACGGAATAATTCAAGCCACGTGATAGAAAGTACTGTCTGTCAGGAATTCCCACTATGCCAAGCACAGAGGGTCAGTAACAGAGAATGCATGCTCACAAGTTCAGGCAGGAGTGAGAGTACAAGGCTTTTGGAGCCACCCATGCGGCAGTTACAGTGACTTCTGGAAGTAATGAAATAGCAGCTCCAGTAATTGGTTTACCTGTGCATTCGCTGTGAGTATACAGATGTGCATGCATAAATGTGAAAATTCGGTGAATGATGGTCCCGGGGGACAATAGTTCACACAGAGCACAGAGACCTGGGTAAAGTACTGCCCTCACTTTCTAGCTGTGTAACCCTAAAAGAGCCCCAGCATTTCCAACCTCACTTGTTTTTACCAGTGTGGTGGCATCTCTAGAAGCATCCTACCTCACAGGAGTTCTGAGAGAATTAAGTGAGTTTGTATGAAGTATTTGCTATATACCCAACATGGAAACTGCCTAATGAATGTTAAGTGTTTTTACTTTTAAAGCCTCATAAGAAATCATTCATGTTTGGTACATATTTATTGCAACTCAAATAGATCCAATTTTGGAAGGCTGGTGGTCTACGGGAATAGTTTTAACTGTAAAAAAAGTATGAGATACCAGCCAGATTGAAATGTGCAATCTAACTGTAATTACTGACCTGGGCAAAGAGAAGGCAATTGTATTTTTCTTGTAGTTTTCCAAGAAAATATCATTTTTATACAGATTTTGAAAGAATCAATGGTTATATCTAAGTTGATGATTAATATGTTAATATAGAAAACAAAATTAAAACGAATCTAAATACCTTTCCTAAAATAAAATATTTTAAATGTAATGAGTGTGTTATCCACTATGAAGGATGATTGGCCTTTTATATTTAAGCTCAGAGACCATTCCCTAAGGACAGGTCTCTCATATTATAGGTTCACATGACTGACATATGTGATATACACATATATGTATTTGGGGAGTTGGTAGTGTTATGGATGGAACCAAGGGTTTTGTGCATTCTATGCAAGCACTCACCACTGAGCCACACCCTTAGTTCTCAAGACTTGTCATTTCAGAGTGCTAGTCAGGCTTCCTGTTCCGATTCCTTCTGCAGACATGAAAATCTACCCCACTAGCACACCTTGTTCCCTAAGAGAAGACAGTAACATAGAGGTCTGCTTCTGTTTTGTTTTTTGATTAATTTTTTTATGTGTATGAGTGTTTTGCCTGCATGTATGTAAGTATACCATGTGTGCAAATGTCCTTGGAGGCCAGAAGAGGGCGTAGGATCCCTTGGAACTGGAGTCAAGAACAGCTGTTAACCACTATGTGGGTGCTAGGAATTGAACCTGGTCTTCTGCAGGAGTAGCAAGTGCTCTTAACAGCTGAGCCATCTCGCCACACTTTTTGTGGGGTTTTTGTTTTTTTCTTTTTTTTTTTTTTGAGACTGTGTCTCATGTAGCTGGACCAAACCTGGTATGTAGTTGAGATGTCTTTGAACTACTGTTCCTCTTACTTCCATGTCCCAAGTGCTTGGGTTACAGGCATGCATCACCACATTTAGTTTATATAGTTCTGGTTATCAAGACTCAGAGCCTTGGATATGCTATGCAGGCACACTACCAACTGGGCTCTATTTTCAGTCCAACACATAAGTTTCTTATGGAGAATACACTTAGTCATTCAAAAAAGTCTGAGCACTTGCCATGTTCAAGGCATGGGTTTAGGCGAAGTTTCAGCAGTGAATGAGGTCTCTGCCTCATAGGCTTGCACCAAGGTTGAAGATATAGTAAATATGTAACATGTTCAGGGTGGGGGGTGAGCAGGCGGCACATGACACAGCATAATGCATGTTTAAAAGCATCACTGGCAATTTGAAGACCATGGATTCAGTGCTGACTGTGGAGCCAGTGTTGACCATGGAGTTAGCACAGGTTCAGCTGTAGGACTGGGAGCGGCCTGGAACACTTTGGCAGCAGTGGGAGTGATGAAAGGGGATTCAAGTCGTCATTTTGAAGGCCAAGCTAGCAAAATTTGCTGATGGATTGAGTGTAGGGTATTAGAGAAAGGTGCAGTCCAGGATAGGCCAAGACACCTGACCTGAGTAATTGGGCATGGGCCATCCTGAAGCTGACAAGCACAGGGAAAATGGAAACCTGGACTGCACCTGGCATCAGCTATACACACCTGTTTTCCAAAAGCACTTAACAAACGGAGACCCCCACCTACACCGAGCTGCACCCCCACACTCCTTTCTAAAGAAACTGGTCACTCTGACCTGGCACTCCCCAGCAATCCTAATAACTCCCCTTTTGTGATCAAACACATCTTGAAACCTATTTGGGAATTAGGATCAGTGGGCTCATCTAGCCTGGACTGGTTTCAGGTGCATGTACACTAAGGCAAACTGTGCCCTCAAAATGAACTTTTAAGGAAAAGTCTTATTTATCATTGTATGCTATGCATGACAGTGTATCTAAGATTAAAATCAGATGCATCATGAGAAAGGACACATGCAGAAACTAAGGTTAAATACCCGAATCTGTCAAAAGAAAAGTCCACCAACACCAAGTCCCTAGCAACCAATTCCTCCTCCTCCTGGACCCTCAAAGCCCTGGGCAGTGAGCAGGGGCTCTTGAATAAACCCCACTCAGCTTGCTATCCTGCAGCGTATCCAGTTTTCCCTTTGTGTGTGTACATCTGAATGTGTACATGTGCATGTTCTTGTGTGCATGTGAGCCCTTGTGGGGGTCAGAGGACAACCTCCGGGTAGCGGTACTTACCTTTCCAGCTTATCTGAGACAGGGCCTCCTCAGGACTCCCTAAGTGAGGCTAGCTGGCCTGTGAGCTTCTAGTGTTTTCTCCTGTCTCAGCCTCTTATCTCCTGATAAGGGGAGTGGAGATTACAAATATTTGAACTATGGTGTCAGGATTTTACTGGGTTCTGGGGATCTGAACTCAGCTTGTCCACCTTGTATGGCGACTGCCTTTATTCACAGCCCTAGCATATCCAATCTACTTTACTTTCCTTCTGAACAAAATTTGCTTCATTGTGGTATGCTTCTCTGAACAAGATACCCAAACCTGGAAACACTGTCCAGACTGACTGTTGGTAACAGTTTCAACACTAGAAGCACAGGAATGCTCAAGAGCTATTTTACACACAGTTTATGATGCTATCTCATGTATCAAGCCAGCTGCTAGTCAGCTGCTAGACCAAGACAACAAGAGCTAAAAGTGGGGGTGGGGAGTCGTCAAGGCTGAAGATAGAAATTTTGTGGTCATGTAATTTAGTGTTAAAAGCCAAGGGAATAAATGAAATCACTTCGGAAGTGGTTGTAGAGACTGGAAGAGTAACTGTGAGGTTTTCCAACACCTAGAGGTTTAGAAAAAGAACTGAGTAAATGAGAAGCCAGAGGTAGGAATATGCTCAGGAGCAAATGTGCTTTCCTAGACAGTCTGGGAGGAGCCTCTCAGGGAGAGGTCAGTGCTGAGAGGTTCAAGAAGACTGACCCTCCTCCTGAGCCTGACCAAAGAAGAGCTGTGGTAAACGACAGCAATGTATTCAAAACACATGGGGATGTACAGACTCAGGAACCAGCAACCTAACAGTGCTTACCACCACCCTGCACAGCTGCTGAGATCTTCTTACCTGTTAGCAGTCTTTCACTATTACAGACCACTGTACTTTTTAAAACGTTAAAAAAAATTTTCTATTATGTGTATGAGTGTTTTGCCTGCACTGTATGTAAGTGCACTTGTGTCATGCAATGCCCACGGAGCCCAGAAGAGGGTGTCAGATTCCCTGGAACTGAAGTTAAAAACAAGTGTTAGCCTCCACGCAGATACTGGGAACTGAACCCAGATCTTCTGCAAGAGCTGCCAGTGCTCTTAACGGCTAAGCCATCTCTCCAGCCCCTCTAAATTGCATTTTGAATCTCCAAGAAGCAAGACCCTATTTCTCAGATTTTCTGAACTCAGGGTGCTAGAGAGCACATTTGAGAAGGGTGCCTTCAGCCATCAGCAGGTACCAACTGTGCTGCTGAGCACTGCCCAACTACCCACTATCTGAAGAGACATCTCACCTGGGTAGATGGACTGCCCACCAGTGATCTGCTATGCTGTTACTTCTTTTCTTTTTTTAAAAAAATATTTTATAATTTTATTTTATGTGTATGCATGTATTGTCTGCATGTAGGTAAGTACACCTGTGTTGTGCAATACCCAAGGAGGACAGAAGAGGCTGTTGGATCCCCTGGAACTGGAGTTACAGACAGCTGTTAGCTGCCATGTGGGTGCTGGGATTTGAACCCGGATCTTCTGCCAGAACAACCAGTGCTCTTAATCACTGAGCCATCTCCCCAGCACCTGCTGTTACTTATTTTCACCTAGAGATATGAACCTACTCTCTCTGATGTGATTTTGCCACTTATTAGACTCACTTTCCTCGGGTGTATTGTTTCAACTGACTTCTGACAAGGCTTAATTTCACTGCTAAATGAACTAGTCTCCCAATTTTTTTCTCACATGTCATACAAAGAAAGGGTGCTAGAAAAGCCAAGCATGGTGGTGCACACCTATAATCCTAGCACTTAGGAGGCTGAGGCAGGAGGATCACTACAAGTTCAAGGCCAGCAAGGTCTACACAGTAAGTTCCAAGCCAGTAAGAGCAACATAGTGAGACTCTGTCTCAAAAAAAAACACCCAACAAAAAAGGGTGCTAGAGTAGAAAAGCCACTGTTCCAAAGGCTACAATACATGCATCTGATTAAATGTCATACTTCTAAAATGTTAGGTTTTTGATGTCAGGGCCAGCAAGATGGCTCAGTGGCTAAAAGAGCTTGCCAGCAAGCCTAAAGACATAAGTTTCATCCCCAAGGGGCACTGATGGAAAGAGGCACTCCCACGAATTGTCTTCTGACCTCCGCATCTGTGTCATGCCACGTGCACACCCACACATACACACAAAATACATGTAATAAAAATTTTAAAACTTATTATTAATGTGGATGAGTATTTTGCATGCATGCATGCAAGTGTACCAGTGTCATGCAATGAATGCCTGCAGAGGCCAGAAGAGGGCATCAGATCCTCTGGAACTGGAATTAAGGACAGGTGTTAACCACCATGTCAGTGCTGGGAACCAAACCTGAGTCCTCTACAAGAGCAACCAGTGCTCTTAACCAATGAGCCATCTCTGAGGCTCCCATAAAAAAATATTTAAAGGGGATTTCACATGACAATGCTTTCTAGCCTTTATTTCCTTTTATGCCAACAATCATTTCACCATCTCTCCCTTCATTGCCTCTTCCAACTCAGGCTTCAAATGTTTTCCCGTGAACACGTATCAAGTGGTTGAAGAGCAGGTTTCAACCATACCTACTGAATTCTTTGCTTACCCAGTTAGTGTGAATGAAAACCATCAGCAGCTATTGTAACAGACATGAGAAAGGGAATGGATAATCAATTCATTTTGTTAAAAATATTTATTTTAAAAAAATACAATTGTTGTCCACATTTAGCTGCACATATATCTATGAACAGATCTGTATAACTCTGGACTTAAGAGTAAATCTGCTACAGTGCTTTCTTAAAGCCAGCTTCCACTAGACAAAGCACATTCTTGTCAGTTCTTACATAAAATAGTTTTTTAAAATGTATCCTTTCTCTTAAAATACGTATGACCATTATAGAATCTAACAAAGTTTTTGCATAAAGCTTAGAAAGCAACAGAAATAAGGATCACCCTACTGGTTTGTCAGAACAACCTCTTTGCAAGGCTGGAGACGGCACAAATGTGTTAGGAAGCCCTCTGAGTGCCCGCCCATCCTTGGCCCCACTTCCCCAAACTCTGTGAAGTTTCTTTGTCCCCCAGAGACAGAATTCAAGACTCTACATTGGTTTAGTCAGCCTTAAATCAGCATCCCTTTGTCTCTACCAGTCAAATGTCCCTGCTTATTACCCAGATGACGGTTTCTGTTCAACTGTATGACCAACTGAAATTTAATTGTTAGCAGTTCCTATTTTAATTGCTTTTCTTGGAAAAAAGAAAAAAATGATTTTAATACTTAGCAGGTTTCCTTAATATAAACTAAAATTAATACATCTTGTTAGTAACACCTTAAGTTATACTTTTGAGTAGGTATGTACTTACACCTTATCTAAATACCTATTCAAAGTGGTAGACACTGGGTATTATGAGACACGTATTTCAATAAAACGTGTGAGGTGAGGGTGGGATGGACACAGGCAAGAGCTCTTATAAGGTGTAGAGGACCTTGTCAGATCTTTACCAGTCATCCTACCCTCAGAAAAAGCACCTCTCCCCTATGTGAATACACTGCAGTAACGGCAGAACACATGCTCTTTTTTTCTTAATTATGGATCAGCTGAGTGAAAATTAGGAGTCTGTTATTTAAGACCATTTGCCTTTTAAGTGATGTTCATACCTTACCCAGTATACTGTCAGGTTCACTGTGGCTCAACCACTTAGCACATGAAATTTAAAATAATCTGTGGTTATTTCCCATTAATCACACTCAGCAACCCCACCCCCTCCCCCAAGACAGGGTCTTGTATCCTAGGCAGGCCCCAAACTTGCTGTGTAGCCAAGGATGACCTTGAACTCCTGATTCTGATGTCTTTACCATCCCAGTGCTGGGATTAAAGGCATGTGCTATCGTGCCCAGTTTATGTGGTACTGGGGATCAAACTCAGGGCTTAGTGTATGCCAGGCAAGCACTCTACCCATCAAGCCACACCCACAGCCTAAGAGGGTCTTTTTAAAAAGATCTAGTAGGACCCATGGGAAATTATTAGGTTTTTCTTCAATGTGCAACATTAAGTTAGACAAGGCAGCACAAACCTGCAGCCCCAGACACGTAGGAGCTGACAGGGGAAGGACTGTTATAACCAGGAGTTTAATGTGCAACATTAAGTTAGACATGGTAATACAAACTTGCAGCCCCAGCTACTCAGGAGCTGATGGGGAAGGGACTGTTGTAACCAGGAGTTTAAAGTCAGCCTGAATAACACAAGATCAAGCTCATAAAAAACAAAACAAGTAAACCCTACTTTTTTAAAAAGTCAATTTGAATATTTGGTGAATAAAGAATATAATTCCAAGAAATTTAACCCCAAATTTTCTGTTTACAGCCAAAGTTAACCAGTAGTAAAATGGACTAAGGCTTCTTCTCTTTTTAAATTCAAGTGTGTGTTTATGTGTGTGTGTGTGCCGTGTGTGGGTGCCTGTGGAGGCCAGAAGAGGGTGTCAGATCCCTTGGAGTGAGAGTTACATACAGGTGGTTTTGAACCACCCCATGGGTACTGAGAACCAAGCTCTGGTCCTCTGAAAGAGTACCAAGTTCTCTTGGCTGCTGCTCTTTTAGGCAGGCTCTCATGTAGCTCAGGCTGGTCTCAAACTCATTATGTAGCTGAGGATGACTGAACTCTAACCCTCCTTCCTGCACTACTCAAGTGTTGGGATCACCGGTATGAGCTTCCAGGCCTAGAGCTCTGTACTTAGTCTTTCCTCCCCACAAAGATAAACCAAACAAAGGGGGGATACATACATAAATGCAATTAGAAAAACCCAAAGCCAAATCAAGTAAACAGGCCTTCAGTAATCAAAGTCATGTCAAATTCTCTATATTTGTGCATTTTACTTAATTTTACTGATACTGAACAGGGAGGTTTGAGAAGCATGCTATTCTATCACATACATGGTGAATGTAAGCAGTGAATGTCATCCATCCAGAGACCATTGGTAATACTGTCTCCAAGCAAACAATGAAATGTCTCAGAAGGGACTGTGTCCCCTACATAACAGGCAATAAGCAACAGTGATTAAATAGGAAAGGGGAGGGAAAAAAACCACAAAAAAAAAACAAACAAAAAAAACCTCTCGCAATTGTATACTTTTCAAATTTAAGTGTAATCTGCCTATTGCAAACCATCTTTTGAAATAATAAATTTCTACAAAGCATAATATTAAAAGCTTATAAGTCATTTTAAATCTTTCTAACAGAAAAGAGGCTGCTGACAGTCCAGGAGGACATTTCAGTAATCTGTTTCTCCCTTCTCTAAACTCAACTAAGTTCCCAAAACCAGAAATGAGAAACAAACCTTACTTCTCTGACCCTCAATGTCCTAAAGCTGAAATTAAACAAAATAATCATTAAGTGCTTCCAGTTATTAGAAACAGTACTAACACAGTGCCCAAGAAGGTGCCAGGTGATCTGACAGCAGTACATAGCATCCCCACTTTGGAACACTGCTCAGAGTGGCCTCAGGCCACTCGGGCCCTGGTAGTACAATAACCCATCTCCACTCTGGCCCTATCCAGAAGATCCCAGGCTGTATGAGCACAGCTCATAATTCCTGGAGGGATGAGACTCAGAGTGGAACTCTGAGATGCAAACAAGGCAAAGCTGAACTCATTTGGTCAGGACCCCTCTGAGGTTTCTGCTAATGCTACTTTAATATAGAGTTTAAAGGGTAAATTAAGCCAACAAGTCAGAAGCCCTCTCCTAGTATATCCATCCATCCATCCTGGAACCCTATATTCTAGGAATACTGTTTCTAGTATAAACCTCCTGAAAAGCTTACAACCCAAACCAGTAGAGGTTTTACACAAAAACAAATGTAAATGTAGAAGTTTTAAGAAAATATGTCCATATTGCTTAACAATATGTGAACATAGAAGAGCAGTTTAAGATGACTATTTAGGAGTATGTCCAAGCACTGTTATTACTAAGCTGCTGACAACTGGTCTTTAAGGCCTATGATTCTATGCATTAAAACTGAAACAAGCAAGGCATTATCTTTAAAAAGTGGCAGCTGCAAAGTGCAGCAGTTTTTTTTGTTTGGGGTTTTATTTAACAGTTTTAGTACAAAATAGACTAGTAGCCATCCTACAGGATGAATGTATGCTCCCTCTGAAAAATAGATTTATACACTCTGGTCAACACTTAGTAATACATACACAGTATGTACTTGGCCAGTATTATCAGAATGACTTAGAAATGTGTTAGTTTCCCAACTAAATATTCCAAAGACAAGTTAACTTCATAAAACTTCCTGGTGTGCATTACACTCAAAAGATTAACATTCAAAAGACTGTATTCATTATGAATTTCCCTATTAAGGTTGCCATTAAAAGTTAGGGGAGTGAAACTTGGTGGCAGTCACTTGCCTAGCACGTGTGAGGCCCTCACACCACAGAATCAAATCAAGTGTTAGCCAACAACTTGACTTTCTTGGTTTCTGTAGACAGTTAAAACCCAACATTTCCTCTCCCACAAACCACTCTGGATTTCACAAGTACAGCATCTTAGAAATGGCTTCCTTTTAGCAATCTGTCTACCTGTCACACCTTGTTTCAGAAAAGCAGCTTGATGGATATCACTTGCTAGACACTTGCACTATGACTCACATCTCAGATATGCTGTGAGTACAGGTGGAAACATGACTCTGATAGTAACCACTTACACCACACACAAGACATACCGCCACAAGAACACTACTCAGAGATGACACTTCACCTTCAGTATGAAGTTCTGAGAGCATACGATAAATGACAGGGCAAGGCCAGCACTGAGTACTCGCTGATCCTAGACACTTTCCATTGAACCCACTCTCTGTAGAGTGCCCACTGGAGGCAATTCATGCCTCCCTCCAGCTGCTTTCAGCACTGTGTATCGAACACTCAGGTGCTCACCTCTATCTTAGAAACCCTCAAACAATAGGTGGCAACACGGACAATCTTATTGGTTTAGAAATCCATTCTGAGTCCCAGGTTTCTACTCAGGCCTGCACTTGTCTCCACACCTTTCCAAACAAAAGAATGGCACCTCAGTACAACTCCCAGTTTCTGGCATGGGTAAATAATACACATGTGGTTAAATGAAGTGATGAACAGAACAGGTCATCAAATAAACCATTCCTTCAGATGCTGAAATATCCCGAATGATTTTTAAAAAGCAATTTATAATGCAGCAAGAAAGCCGCCAAAGTTGGCATATACTTTAGCATAAAGCAACGTACAGTAATTGTGAATTTGTTGGTAAAATATAATGTAAGGCCAAAAGAAGTTTGTGAGACTAGAAAAATAAATACATTACTTATAATACAACGATGAAAGAGAACAGGCTGTCAAAAATCTGCACGAGGCTTTAGAAAGTATTTGATAATGAATTCTTAAACAATTAGCGGGAAGTTTCAAATCCTGACAACAAAGTTCTCTTGGAAAATTCTGAATCTATTCTAGATTTTTTTTTTTTCCACATGTCACAAAAGTGCTTTTTATTTTTAAAGACAGGGTCTTCCTGTAGCCCCAGCTGGTCTGGAATTTGCTATGTAAACCAGGCTAGCCTCTGCCTCCAGAGTGCCAGGATTAAAAGCGTGTGCCACCAAACCCGTCTAAAAGTGTGTATCTTTGAGAATCAAATGAGAAATCACATATTTGCTTCTAAGTGCACAAGGCCATCTGTGGGATCCAGCAGTTCTTTCTTATGCCACCCTCCACCTCTGATTTGGTGTTTTAGTATAGTATACATGTTATTTTATAGAGTGGTAAATATATGAATTTTTAGGAGAGAAAGTTCAGTGGTGAAAAATTTATTACTGTCCGAGATAAGGTTGTTCACACTTGCAATTTCGGTACTTGAGAGGCCGAGGCTGGAGGAATGGTATGAGCTTGAGTGCCATAGAGTGCTACAGTCTTTTGCCCAGACTACAGAGGTAAGACCCAAGCTCAAGAAGCAAAAGATAAAGTGAACCAAGAAGGAGAAAGAAAACATTTGCTGGTCAAGGTGCATGTTCCAGAAGACAGGAGTTTGCGCCTTTGAAACAGCAGCAGTGCCTCAATGGTGCTTAAGCCACTTGCCACATACAGCTGCCTTTTGGAATGCTAGACTCACAGGGCAGATCCCAGGTCAGGATGAAGCAATACTATCAGGTCTCACACAGCACAAAGCCAAGGCTAATGCACCCACAGGAGCACTACCAACAGCCAGCACTGAGCTGCAAACACCAAGTCTCTGGTTTACCTGCTAGTCACTCCTGCCTTTTCTGATTTCTAATATAGTATATAAAGGAATTTTCCAGTTTAAAAAGAAAAATCCAGTACTTTATACAAGTTCATGGGCTTACTTTCTCCATTAAAATTTGAAGAAAAAGCCAGACATGGTGAATTTCTGATTCAGTTCACAGCCTGGGCTACATAGCAAAATAGATCCTGTCCCAAAAACAAAATAAACAGCAAAGCTGGGCATGGTGGCACATGCCTTTAATCTGCCTTTAATCCTAGCACTCAGGAAGCAGAGGCAGGGGGATCTCTCAGTGAGACAGAAGTCAGGTCAGCTGGGGCTATAAGGATACCATGTCTGAAAAACCAAACGAAAACAAAAAACAAAAAAGCAAGTAAAAAAACAAAGACAAAAAAGGGGAAGAAATTATACCTATATTTTAACTATCAAAATGTGGAGAGAAATAAACTTATATTTTAACTCTATGAAGTTTAGAGTGGACCCTTTGAAGAGTTCTAAATTCAATTATTTTTCTGTATTTTTTTAATAAATTGAATTTTTACCTTTATTCAAACACAATATGCCACAAGGACCATAACATCACAATAGCACTATGAGAAATGATTAAAGGATTACTGAGGTCAGCTCTGACATTTTAAACTTTATATTTTTAAAACCTCAGCGTATGAGTAAAAGAAAAGGACAGCTGGTATTAAGCCACCAGGGAGTAAGTACAATGGCTTATGGCTGCTCTAAGCCACAGAGTGCAGGCTTCTCAGCTCCAAGGTTGAGGCTTGAAACCCACAAGGGACTAATGAAAGAAGCCAACAAACCTTACAAGCTCAAGACTTCTCTAGCAAGGTGACTGATGACAGATACCAGTTGCACCTACAGAAATCTCTCCAGTGAACACTGACCCTAAGTCAGCTTTTGATGCTAAGAAGAATTCTATGGCTATTCAAACGAATACAAAGCTGAGACTTTTCCAGGAAGGAAATAGTCTGTAAATAGAACTATCCGCCTACCACACACCAAGGTTATAAACGTGACTTAAAAAGGGACACAAACACATGCATGCACTGCTTCCCCACATCTATGGATCTCAACAAGAAAGCAGATTCATCTCTTCCTAAGGCCTCACATCTCCCCAGAGACTCACTCAGGCTCACAGAAAGAGGGCTCACAGTGCTCTTACTGAGGGTGTGTGTGTGTGTTTTGAGCCACGGTCTCATGTAGCTCAAGCTCAAACTCATATAACTGAGGCTGTCCTTGATTCTTGATGCTCTCTATGCTGAGATGACAGGTGTGTGCCACCACGTGTGCCACCATGCCCAGCCTGAGTTGAATGGTACCCTTGGTTCCAAGGCACCTCTATGCTAAGACAGTAAATTATCAAATATATCATCTGTGAAAAGAAACAAATGGCTTTTCTCCTTTAATTCAAAAAGATAAAATATTTTTATGTTCTTAGAATTTAAAACATCTAGTTAAGTCAACCATCAATATTTACTTAATATACAAAATGTTAACCTAATAAAATTATTACAAAGTGCTGCTGAGGGGTCTAATTTCAAACAGGCATGCAAACTAAATAATTCAACAAGGGAAGAAAGCCTCTTACAATATCTGTTCCCATCATACTGAACACTACCTTTCAACACTACTATTGCACATCATGGGAACAGAACTTTTAGATAACCACAAATGAACCAGTAACAGTTCTCCAACTGCCCCTTAAAGGCAGCATGCTGTTGCCCTCCACTACCAACAAGCCAGCACACACCTCAGAAGAGCATCTCTGCACTGGACAGCAAATGTATGCTCGCTCTGCATCTGTCGTTCTGTGCCCACAAGGCCTTTCTTCTTCATTCCATTCAGGACATGTCTAGCAGTTAATGGGCATGGAGAGGATGTGACTTTAAAGTCAAAGTTTTCAAGATTCCACTGTGATATTGGTATCAATTCAGTTTGAAAGATCACTGTATCCGTCTGCCTCTGATCTGATTTGTGACAGAGTAATAGTCTAAAAATGTGACAATATGCAGATGAAGGCTGTTTCTCATTGCTGACATAAATAATTGAATTCCTGTGTATAAGAAGTATCAAGTGCAATCTGATCTTCCCGGAATTAAAAAAAAATTTTAGAAATAAGCACATCCTTATCTCACTTTGCAATCCACTTTCCTAATTACATTTGAACACTGTTGCAACCTCACCAACCTCATATTCAAAACACAACATGATAAATACATAGCAGAAGTGGGTAAAATGAACAGAAACAGGTCTGTCATTCTGAGTGTTGTCTAACTGGAAAAAAGGCCCACCTGATGTTTTGAGATATTCAACTGAATCTTTTACTTGCTTCTAATTTTCAAACCTATTTTCCTAAAAGCAGTTACCATGCTGTGTTGCACAAGTACATAATCACACTGTACTAGATGTGGCGCTCCATATTCTCGCTAGATGTTCTAAAAGCCACATGAACATGAGCTCTAAACATCTTCCATTGAAACAGCTCTGTGCCACAGTGACAGGTTCAGACACCCTCATACGTATGGCTCAGAGACCAACTCAGGACAAAGTGTTGTTTACAAAAGTGATGCTTTCTGAAGTTGCTTACCAAATCAGAGTTCACAGCAAAACAGAACCTTCCCAGTGGTAATGATGTCCCAATCTTTGTACAACTAGGAATGATTCTCTCTCCTGACCTTATGAGTAACTCACTTCTGGCCTTCAACAGAGCATACTTACAGACTAAAGATACCACCATTTCATTTAACTAGTATTTCTTGTTTTTGTCTCTTTGAGACAGAGCCTCATGCCACCCAGGCTGGCCTCAACTCTTGGTTGGTGATCGCCTGTCTCAGTCTCCCAGGTGCTGGGTTACAGAACTGAGCCATCATGTTCAGCTAACAAGTATTTCTTTTTATACAGATTCTGATCTATATAAAAACAATCCAAATAACAGATTCTAATTTCTTTTCCCTGGCCAAAGGGTCCAGACAGCTAGGAACAATAACTTTTCTCAAGCATTCTTACAAAGCATAGCTGTTGAACCTTACCAATAATTATTTTATACAAAGCTTAAAAAACAAAAAATGTGAGGTGTAGTTTGGGTTCCAATTAAGGCATTTTTATACGCAGTCCAACTTTTGAGCTCTATCAAAGAGAATCCTGAAAAGGCCTTTCAGTGAGAAAGGGCAAAAATCACAAGTCTATTATGACCAAACCAAATCATGTTGCGTATCTGTTTCTTAGTTCTTTGGTCTCTCCGTCCACAACTGCACTGGTTATGTCTTCTGTAGGTCTGGGGAAAATGGGCCAGGAGTAGAAGGTCCATCCAAACCAGACAGAGTGAATGGCCCATGACTGTTCAGTACAGAAGGAAACTGAGAAGGAAAATAAAAATATGTTAGCATCCCATTATTGCATCCTAACTTACACTTTCTGTCCCTATTGTACTCCCCAAGGGAGAACACAAGAGACTTCTGCAGTGGCTCATAGGACAAAGAAAGTAACTATTATGAAAGAATATGATGTGTTTGTTTTGGACTTTATTATTGTGTATGTATATGATGTGTGTTACTTGTGTGTGGTGGATACACACATGCCATGGTGTACATGTAGAAGTCAGAAGACAATTTTGGGACAGGGCTAGATCTCTCTGCCCTACGGTAGGGCCTAAGACCTTAGCAGACTGCCTGAGGGTGCCTGGATCTGGTCTCCTTGGTGGTTAGCTTCCCCAAATCAGAACGTGCCCAACCCCCCACATTGGGACCACGTGTGGCCCCTCCTGCTTAGCCAGGACCAGACTTCTCTGCCCTACAGTGGGGGCCCAAGTTTTGGCAGACCTCCTGAGAGTGCCTAAATTGGGCCTCCCCTTATCAAACTTCCCAAATTGTGCTATGACTGCCCACTTGTAGGGGTCCAGACCTTAGAAGGAAGCCTGAGTGTACCTGACCTGGGCCTTGGTGGGAGCTCCTGAGTAACTGAACTGAATATAAAATCTGAGCGAACCTGAAACCTAGACCAACCAGCTTTACATACCCCAAAAGAAAACAACCAAGGCACACCAACAATACAAACAGAAGCAAACTTCAACTCCACAAAGGAAGGCTTGAGTTTCATACCAGAATCACAAACAAAAGAAATCCACATGCCAAAATCACAATGAAAAATAATACAGAAAACCAAAACAGTATGTTCCAACCAAACTCTACCAGTGCTATACAAGAGTTCTATGAGAAGCCCCTAGAGATGACCCAGGAGGACACGGAATTTAAAAGACCAATCATAAACATAATCAAAAAATTAAGCTGGGCATGGTGGTGCACGCCTTTAATCCCAGCACTCGGGAGGCAGAGGCAGGCAGATCTCTGTGAGTTTGAGGCCAGCCTGGTTTCCATGATGAATCCAGGACAGCTGGGGCTATAGGGAGACTCTCTCAAAAAGACAAAAAAAAAAATAAAATAAAATAAAAAAATTTAAAGAACACACAAACAAATCAAAGAACTAAGAGAAGATAGGGATAAACTAATCAAATTCACAAAAGAGAAACAGTGAAGAAAACTCAGATTGAAATGAAGAAGGAAGTGAAAAACTCAGTAAGCCAATTTGGAAACAAGAGAAACCCTCACCAATTGAATGAATGAAATGGAAAACAGAATATCAACACTGGATGATAAAGTTGAAGAATTGGACCGCTCAAGCAAAGATTATGAAAAATTTTTAAAAAACACAGGAATGGAATGTGCAAGAAATGTGGGACACCATGAAAAGCCCAAACCTACACATGATAGGCACTGAGGAAGGAGAAGAATTTCAGGTTAATGGTACTGACCAGATCCTAAACAGGACTGTAGAAGAGAATTTCCAAAAACTAAGGAAAGACATCCCCCTACAAATACAAGACACAGCTGGGTGTGGTGGCACACACCTGTAGTCCCAGCACTTAGGAGGCAGAGGCAGGCGGATCTCTGTGAGTTCAAGGCCAGCCTGGTATACATAGTGAGTTCCAGAACAGCTGGGGCTACAGGAAGACCCTGTCTCAAAAAGACAAAAACGAAACAAAACAAAAAACAAATACAAGACGCACATAGAACACCAAATAGACAGGACCAGAAAAGAAACTCCCCATGACATATCAGAGAAAAAACACTAAACGTGCAAAACAAAGAGAGAATACTGAAAGCAGCAAAAGAAAAACAGTAAGTCATATACAAAGACAATCAGAATTAGAGCTGACTTATCAATGCAAACTATGAAAGCCAGAAGAGCCTAGACCAAAATATTGCCAGTTCTAAATGACCACAGATGCCAACCCAGAATACTTTACCAAGCAAAAATATGTATTATAGTTGAAAAGGAAAGAAAAATCTTCCACAACACAAATAGGCTGAAAGAATACATATCCACAAAATCAGCCCTTCAAAAAATACTTAAAGTAAAACAAAGAATGGAGAAAGGAACAACTATACCCCTGGGGCAACAGAAAGAAACTAAATGAAGGCATAATTATGGAAACACAAAATTAGACAAAGAATACAAACTAATCAAAATGATGGCAACCAATACACATCTTTCATAATAACTTTAAATATCAATGGACTGAACTCCCTAATAAAAAGAAACAGGCTAGTTGAATAGATTAAGAAACAAAATCCATTCTTTTGTTGTCTGCAAGAAACTCATCTCACCTTCAAGGACAGACTACGTAAAGGTGAAAAGATAGAAAAGAATATTCAAGCAAATGATACTAAGAAACAAGGAGAGGTTGCAATTCTAATATGTGACAAAATAAACTTCAAACTAAAACTACTCAGAGAGATAAAGAGGGTCACTTCATTCTGATCAAAGGAACAACTGACCAAAAAGATATTACAATCATGAACATATATGCACCAAACTCGGGGGTACCCAAATTCATAAAAACAACACTACAGGATTTTTAAAACACAGATTAATCCCAACCCAGTAATAATGGGGAACTTCAATACCCTAGTGTCTCCATTAGACAAGTCAACTGGACAAAGAATAAAGAGACATCTGAATTAAAAGACACCAGGGCTGGAGAGATGGCTTAGCAGTTAAGAACACTGTTCTTGAAGAAGATCCAGGTTCAAATCCCAGCACCCACATGGCAGCTAACAAATGTCCGTAACTTCAGTTCCAGGGGATCTAACAGCCTCTTTTGTCTTCCATGGACATTGCACGACACGAGTGCACTTACCTACATGCAGGCAATACATGCATACACATAAAATAAAAATAATAAAATTAAAAAAAAAATACATCAAATGGACCTAACAGACATCTACTAAATATTCCACCCAAGCACCAAAGAATATATTTTATTTTATTTTCCTTTTTTTTGGTCTTTTTGAGATAGGGTCTCCTTGTAGCCCCAGCTGTCCTGGAATTCACTATGTGGACCAGGTTGGCCTGGAACTCACAGAGACCAGCCTGCTTCTGCCTCCCCAGTGCTGGGATTAAAGGTGTGCCCCACCACACCCAGGCTTATGTTTTCTTTAAAAAAATTTTTTTACCTCACTTCCCTCTCCTTCCCTGGGCTACACAACCTGCCAGCCTCTCTCCCGGGAGCCCTCCAGGCCTGATCCCACCTTCACCTCCCTCTGCTTCCATGGAAGGCACAACCTGCCAGCCTCTTTCCTGGACACGGGGGCTGCCCTGTAGGCCCAGAACCACCACTGCTTCCTGATCCCTTGCATCCAGAAGAATGCAATTCCTTCTCACCATCCCCAGGAGACCTCTGGGCCTGGTCCCACCCTCACCTCTCTCTGCTTCCCTGGGTGTGCACAACCCGCCGACCTCTCGCCTGGGTAAGTCCATCTTGCCGTCGCACCATGACTCCCTGAGCCTCATTCACTCCCCCATCTCCCCAATCATCTATCCTCCTAGCCTGGGTACTATCCCATTCCTTGTCTTGGTACCCCAGAAACCAGGGGAACCAACACTGCTTCCTGATCCTTTGCATCCAGACCCAGTTCCTTCTCGAGGTCCCCAGGAGCACTCTGGGCCTGGTCCCGCCCTCAACTCCCTCTGCTTCCCTGGGCTGCAAAACCTGCCAGCCTCTTTCCTGGACACTGGGGCTGACCTCTTGACTTCCTGATCCTTTGCATCCAGACCTCTGGGCAGTCCCAAGGAGCCCTTGGGACTCTTCCCACCCCCATCTTCCTTTGCATCTCTGGGTGACACAGATATCTAAAGGCATGGGAACCA